AACAGAATGTATTTATATTTGAAACGATTTTTTTAAAAAAATCTTTGTCCTCTACATGGAACCAGAGGGTAGATTAATATTTGCCTGTACTTGATCGATTTACTTTGATTTTTATAAAACATGGAAGTAAGTTTGTTTTCAGTACTCTTGGCTTACAGGTAGTCCCCACTTAATAACCCTAACTGGAATCAGCAACTCCATCACTAAGCACAGCAATCAGTAACTAAAACATCACATGACTGCCTTGCTTAGCAGTTCTCTGTTGCCTTTGTTAAGTGAATTCAGCATGGTCATTAGGTGAGGACCCATCCCAGTCTAAGCCATTCCCAATTTTGTCCCAGTCTGGAGTCTTGGTTCTTACAAGACAAGGAACTTCATCCTCTTCAATTCCTCCTCTCTCATCTTCCCTTCCTAAGGCACAGCAAGAAACCCCAGAGCTGCTGTCACAACTCCAGAGCTGTGGCAGTAGCACAGCGTGATTTGTTTGTTTGTCTGTTTGTTTTATTTCATTTGAAATCTTTTCTAGTTTTTTGTGGTGCAGAAATTAAATGGGTTTTGACATTCTTTGCAAGCTGAAAGAATTCCTTGGGATAGAATGCATGAAATGCCTCTGTTATTTTAATATGCTATATACTTTTCCTAGGCATTGTATATAATATCTAAGCATTATGCAGAATAAGAACTATTTAGGCAAAGTATGAAAAGAGAGTCATGAAAAGGGTTAAGTTAAGGGTTAATACCATTTATTGAAAAGACATACATGAAAATGAAAGAAGAAATGCAAAATAAAGTACAGGATTTTCTTGCAGAAGAAAAACAAGAGAAAAAGACCGGCATTGATCTCCTTGCTCCAACAAGAAAGTATAACGACATTTTAGCGGGAATATTTTATACTTTGCCAGTTTGCCTTCGGCATTTCATAGAATGCCTATGGAAATGTGTGAAATACTAAGCATTTCATGCTTTGATGTCCCATTTTTGGCATTCTGTAGATTTCCTAGGCATTCTATAAAATGTCTTAATTTCACACATGACAGTGACAATGTATATCAGTATCTTAGTGTTTAGGCGTAATTGATTCTTCTCCACAGTTTGTGTTTGTTACAGACATCAACAGTCTAACATAACTGTTAATAAAGCAGCTCTCAAAGAACTGGTTTTAATCACTGACAGACTTTTGCCTTTACAAGCTATTTAAAAGACATTATTCATAACATAATTAAACACAGAAACAGTGTTAAACTTTTTTTACTGTATGATTTGTCCAATCATATTAAGGACATGAGACAGCATTTATTCTGTCAAAGCTCATTACATGTTTCAAGTTATTGTGCAATGTATACAGAAGACAGCAATCACAATTACTGTTTCTCTATGAAAATTCACCATAGTCAAGGTATTTTCCCTGAAAATACATTGAATTAGTGATAATATCTAAGCCATCAGAGTTGCCTAATTCATAATGGGAGTATTCACAGTCAGGGTGGATAAAAATAGATGATTTTTTTAAAATAAAATTTTTTTAAAATCAGATTTTTAAAAATTTAAATCAGATTTTTTTAATCAAAATTATTTTAATAAAATGCTTTTGGAGTAAATATCTAAAGATAGTTTTCTATTTAAGATACATTAATAATTTAGTTTATTCATCATAAAATGGAGCTTAGTTATGTAGCATGAGGCTGTATATTCTGCAATATTTACATTTTTAGTAAACTCATTAATGAATCCAAGCTCAGCAAGCTGAGATAACATGCACTGCATTGATGCATTCACATAATTTCACAGTAACCATGAGATAAATCATAATGTTCAGGAATATTCCTTTATCCCATTATTTTGCAAACCTATGTACACTACAAACTGTATGATTGTTTGAAGAGAAATGCATCTGGACCACCAGGCTTTTAAGTGTGAGGAGGAAGTGCAAGCAGTAAAAATAAAAGTGAAACTTTCAAAGCAGCTTATAAATATAATATTAAAGAGCACCTGACATTTCAGGTTCATCATGGCAGTGGCTGTTAGCGGGTATCCATTCACCTGCTGCCTGCCATGTCCCTCATTTTGTTATGTCACTGCCACATCACCAGCCATTCCATTAAAGTGAATGGGACTGTCGGTGAGTCAAAAGCGGGTCAGAGGAGGAGCCACTGAGGGACAGAGATGACAGTTGCTCTTTAAAAATTATGATTTAAATTGAGTTGATTTAAATCAAACCTTTTTACTAATGATTTAAATCGTGATTTAAATTGTGATTAAATCGACTTGATTTAAATCAAATCCACCGTTCATAGTTAAGAATAGGAAAGATAGCGCAAGAAATTTTAGTCTCTAACAACCCCCCCCCCCCCCCGCCCAAATCTTTCAGATATGTTATGCAGGTCAGCTTCGACAAGTTTTATAGGAAGCAAAGTAGTGACTTAATTTGTCATATTCTGGGATAATCAAATGAGCCATTAGTTCTAAACTTGCCATCCATTCTCTCTTCATAAAGGATTGAGCTCTGTTTGATATACAGCTTGGCTATACCTTCTACCTAGGTTCTGAATTTTTGCCTACCTTTGCAACTGAAGGTTAACAGAGCTTCATGTGAGTCATCATGATATATATTAAGAGCATTTGAGCGAACAAGTAACACTAAAGTTTGATGCTCATTTCATTTATTTATAAACAAAGTCATCCAATGTGCAATGTGTTAGTATGACAAAGTAATCCACACACCTCACCCCCGCCAGCCAAATCAGTCACTTAAAGAGAATGTAAAGGCTAGTTGTGTGAATCTTTCATTTATAAATGAAGGTTAAAAATGAAGAGTTGACATTCTTGCCCTGTATGCTTCTCAGAACTCTGTCTTCATCACAGTAAAGTTCTCACCATAAAGATTGTAGAGGCACTTATCTCATTCTTTAAAAATAAAGATCTCTGTAAAACAGTAACAAAATCATTTCTGAGGTTTTATCAGTACGTAGTCAGAGACAGTAGTGAACCTTCCCAAGATTGGCTCTGCTATTCGAAATCGTTCAAAGATCATAACATAAAATAGCATCCTGGGATCTACAGACATGTCCTATTTGGCCAAAGTCAGCTTTAAAGATTCCATTACCAAAAAGACATCAAGTAATGATATTCATGGGAGACTGACAAGCCAGAACTCATTAAGAAGAACGTTAAGGCTTGTTCCAAGTATGCCAGAAAACGAACCTTCCACTCAAGTATGCCAGAAAGCAACCCTTCCAATCAATAGAGGAACTATGGAGCTACATGAATATAATTATGTCTGATGGGAACACAAACATTGCATTCCACCATAACAACCTCATCCCAGCTGTTAAGCATGAGGTGATAGTGTCATGACTTGGAGGTGTTTTGCTTCTCAAGGCCTTTAGTATTTGCCATTATTGAAGAAAGTATAAAACTCCACTTTGGGTCAGAAAACTCCACTGGAGAACATACAAGCAAGTCTGCAAGGTAATAGCTAATGCGTTGTTTTAGAATGGTTAAATGAAAGTCCAGACATAAATATCATAAATATTTTGGCAGAACCTGAACAAGCATTTTATGTTTGAAACCCCTCTAGTGTTAATTAAGTTGAAGGAGTTTGCCATGAAGGAATGGGCCAGAATTGCTTCACAGTATTGTAATGTGAGAGACTGATTACAAATTACACGAAGCATTTGTTTGCAATTGTGGCAGCTGAAGAAGGTACAACCAGTTATCTAATGTAAGAGAAACATTTTCACACTGGTAATTGCATGTTGGATATTTTTTGTTTATGAAATAAATGAAGCAAACACCACATTTCAACAGGACCCATATGAAGATCTGATAAATTTTAGTAGTTGATCTATACAATTGTTAAGTGGACAGAGTCCCAGGTAAGGAATGCAATGTGCTTCGGGGTTTGGGGGAGACCCCAAGAGGCCCAGCGCAGGTCACACACAAGTACAGAATGTGCTGTGGACAAGTCTCTTCACTCTGATGCTGAAAATCCTCCCTGGTGATCTCCCCTGGGGCAATCTCTGCTCCTTAGTTTAAGTGCATTGCTCTCTGGCGCTAAAAATCCTCCCTGGTGAAATCAGGGCAAAATCATATTTTTGGCACCTCGGAGGGAATGGTGAGGCCCAGTACAGGCCACACATAAATGTCTCTCTAGTCAACAGACTGAAATTTCTTCCTGCCAAAATCTATGCAGAAAGCATTGATTTTCCAGGGAAGCCAGCAAGGAAGATTACAAATAGCGATCACATATTGAGGGATGTTTGACGACTAGTTGTAAATGTGAATGGGTTGCCAAATGCCCAGATTACAATCATGTCATCCTAAGGGGTATGTGTGATGTTTTGCAATGGGTCAGAAGCGCTTTATAGGCCATAAAACATCCTTTCCAAGGGTATTATTAATTCAAACCGTGAATGACTATTTAAGCGAATAGTCATAACTTGAGGACTCTACAGAAATTCAGAGAATCTGAAAGTGGGTGAATATTTTTTCATAGAACTGTTGCATTCTCTCCTTATTTGGAGAGTGGATCTGAGGAATATGTTTCTGATTTTTTTTTTTAAGAAGAGAGAACAATATTTATGTGGATTAATATATTGAAAGTGCATTATATTAAGAGATACTTATTAGCTTTTAGTAAACAGCAGCTCCAGATTTGGTGGCACGTAATCTACAGAGGTTTATTTCAGTTCAAAACAAATTGACCTCTGTAAGGCAAGCTAAGAAATGACAAACTGGAAGTGAGAGATTGAATTAACAAAAATATGTAGCTTTCCATGATTTTTAAGATATAACAAGAGTTCTCCTCCTTGGTGGAATAACTTTATAGGCAAATGAAGGAACCATCTAGCACTATACTAGATAAATAATTAAAATGAATAATATTATGTACAATAGCTGTTTAAGTGATGGCCAAAAACTGTCAAAAGCTGTTGCTTGAACGTGAACATTTTGCCCATGAAAAGACAATCAAGTTTACTTCCTTCTTTCTTTTCATATAGTTGCCCTTGGCCGTAATCAGCCCCTGAAAAAGGAGAAACCAAAATGGAAAAGTGATTACCCCATGACAGATGGACAGCTACGTAGCAAGAGAGATGAATTTTGGGACACAGCACCTGCTTTTGAAGGCCGAAAGGAAATCTGGGATGCCTTGAAGGCTGCATCACATGCGTTTGAGAACAATGATCATGAACTGGCACAAGCAATCATTGATGGTGCAAATATAACTTTACCACATGGTAAGTATATTCCTAATGGATGTACTGTAGCACTTGTGAACAGAAAAGCACTGAGAGTCTTAGTGTAGCCCATGCTTCCTTTTTTGGCCTCCTAGACCACACTGACTTAACTGAAACAACTAACTCCCCAAAATATTATTTGACATTAGCTTCAGTACATATTATTAAAATCTACTGTAAGGGGTTTTTTTTGTAGCTTTGAAGAATTATTGGGTTACTTTTAATATACAGTTGAATGGATATAGTTCTGAACTTCTCCATTTTGCTTTATTAGGGAGGAGGGAATGAGGGAGTTTGCAGTGTGCTATGACATGTTTTCATACTTAGCCATCCGCCTGTCAACTGAAAGTCACTTAAATAGTGAAGAAACTTAAGGTAAAGGTGATTGAAAGTTGGTCAGAGTAATGAAATCTGAATCTGGGATAGATGGAAAGATGAAAGATTGACTGATTGATGAGGCTGGATTTTGGAGGTAAGCAAAGGAGTAAGAATTTTTGAAACATTACAATACCATTAATGTAACTCCAGCTGAGTATAAATGCCTCTTTATAATTCACAAATGTTTATGGGATCATAAGAAAAGCTGTCCTATCATCCTGTTCCAAACAATGGCAAGGATTAGCAATGAGCCTTGGTCATAGGATAGAGTGTAATTTGCAGTATTATCCTCTGTGAAATTTGTCTAATCAAACTGTTCCAGTTTTGTTAAACGTTTTCATCCCCTCTCCCTGGGAAAAAGATCTTTATATGAGCAAATGTTTAACAGGCTGAAATGCAAGGTGAAGTATAAAAATGCTAATAAAGTGTAAATATTTTATAAGATTCTTCAGTGCATATTCTGCAAAATATACTAGGGAGGAATTGTTTACTTCGTTCTTCCCTTCCTCCCTCTCACCTTTTTAATGAGCATGTTTTGCACTGTTTTTATTTATTAACAATTCTGAATAAGAACAACAAAATCTTGCAAGATTGTATAATGTCACAAGATATTTTGTTTTTTGTTTTGTTTTGTTTTTATTATTATTTGCACCTGCAGTTCCTTTGCAAACCAGCAGTGGTCACCCTCTGATTTAATTACATACTGCTTCTCAAAGGAGTTATTTCCCCTTATCTTCCACCTGATTAATTATTAGATTCTGTCTTGTGGAGACCTTGGTGCTCTCTGAGCTTGGTTGTTTGCTTGCAGATGTTTCATTACCCGACTGGGTAACATCATCAGTAACATCAGAACCAGATTTTTCCTTGCTTAGAGAACAGTCCTCCTGATAAGTCCCAAAGAGTATCTCCTTTTTAAAATACATTTGGGATGTGATTTAGTCAGAAGAAAAGGCTGGTTGTGTTGCAAATTCTTCTCCAGTCCTACATATGAGAGGCTTTACTCCTTCAGACATTGTGGAAATTCTGCCTTGGGGTATTCTAAAAGGAGTTGTTTTTGTTTCTTGTTACTTAACCTTCACTGTGATATAAAACATTTAAGTTTTTTTTTCTGAAATTGGAAAGCTGATTTACCATCATGCCCTGCATTTCAAGTAAAAATGCCTCATTTTTACGGATTCTAATAATGTGGTATTAAGCCACAGAAGTACCATAGTATATCAGTTTAACTGAATTATCTGGCAATCAGCCAGTTGTCAGTGAAATTCAAAATACTTTGTACATAAATAAATATATGTGTTTGCAAGAATATTGGCAGGTGGAGTATGCAGAATAAGACAGTATATTTCGGTGGTGTCAGGTAGGCATATGGCAGGAGACAAAGGCCAGGTCACTTTGAAGGAATGTGCCCTTGGAATCTGGTATTGATCTTGTGTTTCAGCCCCTTGAACTCAATCCGTTTACCTAGTCAGTAAATTTATGGAGGCCCGGGTTTTAGACTGCTGGTTCTAAATGTCAGATCAGCTTGCCTTATTGTTGATTTGATTCTTGAAGAGAAGGCTGATCTCACTTGCATCACCAATTTGTATCTGAGAGCAGAGGTGGGGTTCCTCTCTCCGAAATGTGCTTAGCTGGCTATCGAGCTTTGCACCAGTCTAGACTATAGAGTGTAGGGAGGCAGTGGGGCTGTTGTCATCAGAGAATCTCTGATAGCTTCCAGGGGCATTGCTTCAAGAGTGCCCTTTTTCTTAGGTTGGGCTTGAGGAACCAAATGGGATTGCTACTGTACCAGCCTCCCTGCTGTGTAGCAGCTTCCCTGCCTGATCTCCTGGACTTCACTGCAGAGCTGAAGATGGAGTTTCCCAGATTCATAGTTTCAGAGGAATTTGTTCTGTGATCTCTGGAGCAGGGGTAGGAGTTCATGGAATTGATGACTATCATGGGCCTGACCCAGATCATCTAGGGTCAAACAACCAATTTGGTGTTCTTGTTGGAGCGGTGCCTATGTGATCGGGAATTGGTGGACCTATCCTACATCCCCTTGTCTTAAAGCCTTACCTTCTCCACAGAGAGGCAGGACCTACTAGATCAATCCCACCCCCCAGCAACCGATGGATTCGGATGGGTTTCAAAAAGAGCTGGGTATTATAAGTGAAGATCTGCTGTGTAGCCCTGCCAAATCCTTAGTTGTCACCTGGAATAGGGAGGTGACTGGGGCTTTGAACAGGATTGCACCCATACCCATGGCATACAGAGGAATTGAGAGATATGAAATGGATGAAGAGACATCTAGAGCACCACTAGCAGGAATGAAAAACATGCTTGCCCAAATACAGGTAAGAGCTGCTATCAAAACCTACCTCCTGGCAATTCAGAGGGTGAAACATGAACACTTCTGACACACTAATTGTGTCTGCAGATAATCATCACTTTCTTTAAGGTGCCCTGTTTCCTTCCAGGGAAGGATGATATCTGGTGAATTAAGCAGTGTCATGACCTCCCTCTCACAATGCCTCGAGTCTGTTAAGAGCTGGATGGAAACAACAGGCTGAAACTGAGCCCTGGTAAGATAGAATGGCTCTGAGTTTAGGGTTCTTTGGTCCATGGAGAATCGCTATCTTTGGTTTTGAATGATGTTGCCGTGCCCAGATGGACCCAGTGCACAATATGGGTTCCCATGGACTCAAGAATCCTGCTCCAAGGAGCAAGCGACAATCATGGGCAGGAGGGTTTTTTTTTTTCAAGTGTAGGCTGTGCACCAGTTACATCCTTCCCTGGACCAACAGAACATGCATGACCATACCTTAGTGTCTTGACTATTATAATGCACTTTATATGGGATTCCACTTGAAAAATATTCAGAAACTTCAGTTGGTTCAAAATACAGGGCCTGCATGGTTTTGTGCAAGTCTGCAGTTGCACATGTGGCACCGTTCTTATGGGAGCTGCATTAAATGTTGATTTGCTTCCATGTCCAATTCAAGGTGCTGTCCATTAACTTTAAAGCCCTAGATAGCTTGGGGCCAGGTTATTTGAAGGGCCATCTATTCCCAGTTACATCTCTCCAACTCACCAGATCAGAGAGGTGTCTTCTCCATCCCACCCACCCCCATTAAAGAGGTCTATTTAGTGGGGCCAAAAAGAAGGCTTTTTTCATGCTGGCCTCCTTCCCTGCGGAAATAAGATTAGCCTCTACATTTTCCAAACTCCATGAAGGCATGGCTTTGCCAGCAGACCTGGGAATCTTGCTTGAATGTAGTGGCGGGTACGGGTATATTGGATATATACATACATACATATATACATATCAGTAGTGGATTGCAAAACCCGTTGCTACCGGTTCGCTCATGCGCATGCGTGCTTTTGCGCATGCACAGAAGCATCCGGCGCAGGTGGGAGGAGCCTTCTGTCGCTGCCGCTACCGGTTCACTGATCGGGGTAGAACCGGTAGCCACCCACCATATACATATGTATGGGTGGGTGGGGGGGTGGGTATGTATGTATGTATGTATAAATACTGTATTTTTTAAAATCAGGATTTATTTACTTTTATTAGTAGAGATAGTAAGCCTGCTCTTCTTCTTTTTCTTATAAAACAAATAAGGTCACAGAACTTTACAGAAGAAAATTGCAGCAATTCAGTGAATTGCCTCTCATAACTTATAAATATTTAATTAAAAAAGTATTCTTTCACTTTAAAATTCTTAAGAGTACATCACACCAATTGTGAAGTTATCTTTCAAGGTAAGCTATATTATGCAAAGGGTGAAAAGCGAGTAAGAAATAGTAATCAAAAGAAATTAAAGACATCAAAATAAAAGAAAACATAGCTAAATCTAATTTATAACATTAATAACTATTTTTGCAAACTATGCTTGCACTGCCTGCTCTTCTGTCAACTTTTCACCTCTTTCTCTTTGAACACCATGCCAACTACATTTAAGTCAAAAATTCCGTTTATCATATCTTTTTGTTAAAACAACAAATACAATAGACTTTCTTTTTCATATTTATACATTTGTCAGTGACACGTTGAATATAAAGTATCTGATTTGCATGCCTCCTGCCGACTGCAAAACCCCACTACAGTTTTTTGGCTCAAATTACTCCTATCATAATCGTTTGATCAGAATTCTGCCAAGCATCTTCCAAGACAGTTAACAAACTAATCTCCCTGTATTTTTTTGCATTCATTCTTCCTACCATTCTTTTTGTGCAGGGGGAACACAATGGCATTCATCCAATTCTCATGTGTAGATTTAATCTTCACAGATGTGTTAATCAAATTACACTGGCATTCCTACAGTAAACTAGATACATATTTTAATATTTTTAGTTAACATTCTCAAAACCTGCAGTCTTCCTCATTTCTTTAGACTTTACTATAGATAGCATTAGTTTCATTCTGTTCATGCAGTATCACTTCAGTTTCATCCCAAATCATTTAATCACATCTATTTTTAATTATAGTTGCTCTGCAAAAAGACTTTTGTTCATCCCTGTTCTCCAGTTTTCTTATTTTCATCAAAACTACACTGCATTTTTGCTTTTAAAAATCTTAAAACGTTTCTTTTTGATTACATTTGATTACATAATTAGCTTTTTTCCCTTTGTACGCATTATGCAGTATCTTTCTGTCATCATTAGTTATATTAAATATTTCCATATCTGCATTATTTTTCTCATCTACAGCCTTTTTTACTGGAGAGTAATTTGCATGTATCATCAACTTATGTATTTCTGCTTTCACATATATCTACAGCCTAAATGACACCAATTTATATTTTCTGGGATAAAGTTTAGCACTTTCATTCATAATTAAACTTATACCTTCACTTCTGTGCATATACTTATCATGCACAGAAGTGAAGACTTCTGTGCATAAAAAGACTTATCAGCTCTTTTTCACCTGATCAGAACATCTTCATTCACATCTATCACATTCTTCTGTTTCATTTTCATGCAGCATTTTATTTCATTTGTTAATTCATGCTATTTACTGTATTTTTCACCCTAAGATGCTCCGGACTATAAGACACACATTAGCTATAGAGGAGGAAAACAAGAAAAAAAAATCTGCCTCTCCTCCCAGCATCTGACTAGTGTCCTTGCAGCAAACAGCCTCGTCTGCTTCAGTACGTTATCGCAGCTCCAGCACGTGGATTGTCAGGGCCTCGCTCCGTTGCTCTCACCACTAATCAACTGAGCTGAGCTGCTGCCACTGGCGATAAACACTGTAGCCTTCGCTACTGAGCAGCTGATTGGCAATTGGATTTGCCTCCCGGAATACAGCCAATCAGCTGTTCTAGGCGGCGGGGATTGCTGCCACTGCCTATTGCTGCCTATCATTCTTGCTATTTACCGCTGCCCACTCGCTGCCACCAATCAGCAAATGGGCGGTGGCAGCGAATGGCAGCAGCGAACAGACTGAGATAGGCAGCAGTGGCAATCCCCGCCGCCTAGAAGAGCTGATCCGTGGTATTCCGGAAAGCTGATCCAACCGCCAATCACCTGCTTGGCAGAGAAGGCTCCAGCGTTCCCTGCTGCCACACCAACCCCCCTACCCCTCCGCAATATTCGCTCTATAAGACACATAGATATTTTCATCCACTTTGGGGAGGGAGGGGAAGTGCATCTTATAATGCAAAAAATACGGTACCTTCCACTCCTTTTATTTTCAAAATTGTAAACTTCCATAAGCCATTCTAATCACCAGCCATGCCCACATTTATTGTCTTCACTGGGGACTTCTATGGGATAGAGTAAGAGCTACATGAGTCTTCAGCTCTTAAATTATATTTATCCTCTCTTGAATAATCATGTCTAAAGCTTTATGAAACTTTATCTTGGTTTATTCAGAGGAAGGACAGGGTAAAAGAAATAGAAAGGTTTGCATCTTTAATGGCTTGGGAACTAATCATATGAGGGGTTGTGTCATCCCAATCCACTAGAGCGGGAAGGGAAGGAATGTTACAGATCCCATCTTCTAAGAAGATACAAATGGTGGGACGCAGAAGACGGGCTTCTCTGTGGTGGCTCCCTCCCTTTGGAAGCTACTATCAACAAACAATTGAACATTGAAAATCAGTAACAGGCAGGACAGCTCTAAATTAAATTTCAACAACTTGGCCACTGGTTTAATGTAGAACAACATGTTGTATGGTTCGGAATTTGGCAAGAATAGAAGATAGTGATTCCTCATGGATATTCATTGAACTGCTTAGGAAGAAAATGGAATGTAAATATTTCTTAAAATATAAGAAATTATAATAAATGACTCATTGATATTCATTCCTGACTGTCATAGATTCTAAAGACAAAACATTGTTCTGAAAACTGATAAATGCCAATTTGGGTGAAGCTAAGAACATCCTAAAGATTAGAGTATCCAAAGAGGAAAGGAAGAACCATTATACTAGATTATTTGCTCCTTGCCCCACTTCCGTTAATTCTCCAATTAATCTAAATCCTACTGCTACTTGCTAGATGCTACTTACTTTTTCCTCCCCCGCCCCCCCAACCACCCAAAAGAAATCAAATCTCTGATATTGGTACTGCCATTAGGCAAAGCCCCAGAAAAAGACTATATCCCTGATGATTTATTTAAAAGCTAATATCATTTGGTAGAAACCTATTTTGGTTAAGCTCTTTAATAATATTAATTCCTCTTACGAACTTCCCCACGTTTGAAATATAAGAATAGTGATCACAATATATAGAAAAGATGATGGTAGCCACTAAGGGAGTATAGACAATTAATCTGTACAACTAAAATGTATGCAAAATATCTAGCTAATAAATTAGAGAATTAGGTCATTGATAGCAATGTGCTTGAGAGCAACAGGCAGGAATTTTAGCAGGACACTCAACAATTGATCACAGTCTTGTATTGGATCACCTGATAAATAAACATGAAAAACATGCCAATAGGAAACTGTTGCCTTTGTGGATTTCTGTGCAGATTTTGATTCTGTTAATTTAAAAACAAGCTACAAATTAAGTTGTACGCTGTATTATATTCCTGTTGTAAATGTAGCCAGGCCACACCCTATATGCCAGCTGCACAATCCACATTCTTCTCAAGTGAGGGATGCTCTTTGTTACAAACACAGATCATATCGTCCTGCCTCTCCAAGTGCTGAAGATAACAACGGCTTGGTCCTTTTTAAAATGAAGGCTATAACTCAAGAGAAACAGTGAACCACATTGGGGGAGAATGCAGCTAACATTTCCACACAGCCTCTGCATGAGGTTTAGAATTCCAAGATACCAGGAAGGACCATATAAGAGATAACAGAGAATCTTAACTGCAAGATTACTTTATTTCTATATGAGTAGATATGTTCAAGCAAGAAATTTTGCACCATATTTTTATGACATGTTACTGTGTTGTGCTAAAGTGTAATTTTCTGGTGTGTGTGTGTGTGAGAGAGAGAGAGAGAGAGAGAGAGAAATCAGATTTTTCAAAGTCAGCTTTGAATCATGCCTCAAGTGACGCATGAGGGATTTTTCTCCTTTCCGCTCCCTCCCACTCTTCATTCCTCCCATTCATTCATTTTGTGACATGTAATATAAACTGGAATCATTCCAGTGTCTTTTCAGAGTTCTTTAACAGATTTGTAGATCGGCACCATCTTGTGGACTCTTTGGAGCCTTGTATTTTATTTTTTTTATTTTTTTGTAATGTTTCCTGCTGTATCCCCTGATTTCAACAGCTCTGTAACTCTTTATTTCAATATTAAATGTTTGTATTTTAATCTGTAAAGTTAAAAATGTTTTTTTTTACTTTTTATATTTTTATGCTTTTAATAAAGTTTGATTTTATTTATTTCTTAAGAGATTGTTTTATTTCCCCAAGACAGAAGAAGGCGCTGTACCTTTTAGCCACATGCCTATGAGCCATGGGGCTTAGAGAAGATATTTCAGCTTTAATATTTTGACATTTAAATTTAGAAAGGTAATATAGATTTTGAAACCTCTGTTTCACACTACTAAAATTAAGGGGTAAGTGCCAGGTGGTCACCCATTGGAAGATTGATGGTGGCAGCATGAACTACCATCCTACTTTCCCAAAGCTGAACAGGAGGCTAGAATTCTGGGAAGAGAGACTTGAGACTTCTACTCACAAACTCAGACAATTGTCCCATTTTTTGCTTTACATAAAAACATCAAGCTCCATTTCTGATATCTACATATACGGTTCCATACAATTTTCTTCACATCAATACAGAATTGGTTTTCTACTGACTTCCAGAAGGTTTTTCAACTTCCTAGTCTAGTCTGCAACCTAAAATTATCTAACCATCTGTCTCCAAATATTTTAGGATAGGGAGGCCCTTCTCTCAGTGACTCTCATGTGGTCATTTCCTGCTTAGATTATTGCAACACACTCTTCTATATGGGGCTACCCATGAAAACTATCCAGAAGCTTCAGCTGGTAAGAATGTTACCACACATGAAATTTTGGGCACCCCAAGGATGATACATATAACACCTTCACTTCATGAGCTGCACTGATTGCTGGTTTGTTTCCAGATCCAAGTTGTTGGTTATCACCTTTAAAGCCCTACATGTCTTGGGGCCAGGATACCTGCAGAACTGCCTTCTTCCCCTTACATTGACCCATCCCACCCACCCATGTTAAGGAGTTTTGACTGGCAGGTTCCAGGAAGAGAGTCTTCCATGCTGCTTCCTCCCTTTAGAATATCCTCCCCTGAGAGATGAGGTGGGCTCCCACGTTCCTGCTCTTCCAAAAGAGTTTGAACATCTGGCTCTGTCCACTTGGGGCTCTCAGAGAAGCAAACAAACTTGGAGTTGGTTAGCGCCTTAGAGACCCTTCCCCCAAGTTTTTAAACTTTAATTCTATTCTTTTAACTGTTGTGGCCCGCCACTGGCCAGCAGAGCTGGCAGCAGATTCAGACAGTGAGGAGGTTGGGGAGGAACATGGGCCAGTCCTGGTGTCTGGGGAAGGCTCTGATGAGGGCTCTGTATCGGAGACAGAGAGAGGGCCAGGGCTGGATGCCAGTTATCAGCTGCCTTCAGAGTCAGACATCAGTGAGGCAGACGAACAGATGGAGCCTGTTCCCAGTGTGCGCATTCGCAGAGTTGCCAGACGAAGGGAACAGCTAAAGAACAAGGCTTGACGGGAGTAAGGCCACAGGTGGACAATGAATGGCCCCTCCCAGAGGGAATAAAAGAGGAGCGAAAGAGGAGTGGAGTTTGCAGGAGACAAATAGTTTGCCTAATTGGTTTGTGACTCTCCGAGACTCCTTGCCAAGTTGTGAAGATATCAGCCTGGCAGCTCTCCAAGCCAGATAATGTCTGTGACTGTAAATTGTCCCTTGAACGACTTTGCTGAGTGTGAAGGAGAGAAATTCACAGTAACTTGATAAAAAGGGATTTTTGGCGGGATAAGGAGTCTGCTTAATGGTTTGGGAACACTTAGGTCAGGGGTCAGCAACCCATGGCTCTTGAGCCGCATGTGGCTCTTTCATCCCTCTGTTGCGGCTCCCTGTCACCGGTTGGCTCCACAATTGATAGGGCTTTTGGTTAGGACAGGTAGAGGAAAAAGGACATCTTTGTGGCTCTACACTCTTTGTGGAGTGTTTAAGGTTGCCAACCCCTGACCTAGGTCAAAACATTAACTGCCTCCTATGGAAATCTAATATTTTATACAGTATTTATGTTTTTAATTTTACACTGCCCAGAGATGCTCTATGTATGAGATGGGTAATCTCTAAATTTGATAAATATTATTAAATTTATATGGCCATCAATCTTGCTGCCTTGACTCTAGGCAGCTTACAAGATTGAAAATTGAAAAGAACTCCACAGAAATCATTAAAAACATTAAAAAATATAACTTACTAAAACCATTAAAATATTAACCAATCCTTTTTCTTTCCAAGATAAGCCAGAGGCTGCCATCAATCATTTCCAGCTTATTTTCTATCAAATAATTTTAATTCCATAATTATTCACTCAACATCTCTCTGATAAATGTGTCTCTGAGCTTTATATATCTTCTTCCAGTAGGTGAGATTACATTCCTTATATTTCTATGAAAGAGAAAGAGGGCAGTCTCCAAAAACAACAGCATAGCTTGTAAGCACTCCAGTGTTATTAACTAGCAGAGAAAAATAGAAGCAACAAAAAGTCCATAGATTTTATAATGATTGCAAGAGAAAGTATGTTTATGCAATGGAGATTCATTAATACTGGAACTTCTCAAGGGTTCTTCACATTGTCAGAAATTTTTGATAGTATACTAAGCATCTAGTAAGCGATCAACAGCAAACTTTGCCTTCTCCAAATAGCAAGTTGCTATTTTAGAAGACGGGGAATCTTTCTCATTCTTCTGCAGCAGAATTTCAGCTGTGCCTACCTTGCCACAAATCATAGCAGCTTGGCATTGTTTCTGCAAATTGATGGCAACTAAGAGGGAGTTCTGGAGAGACATGAATCTGGGAAGACAGGAGGCAGGCCATCTGCTCTACATTGCTGACTCCTGCAATAAAGTTCAGGTATTGTCAAAATGACAGATCTGATCATTATATATCAGACTGTTGGATTTTAAAAATAATAAAGGGTTGCTGTTATTATTCACAATTTCAAATTTTAACCATATTGATGCAGGATTTTATTACCTATCTTGAGAATTATCTTAAAAGGAAAGTGAGTTATAATAATTAAAGTATATAATTTACTGCTGTGGAAGTTAGGGGAAGGAATTGACATTCCTAATTATTTTTTCTATCTGTGAGCTCTAAACAGTTCTTACGGGGTTTCTGTTGGCTAGTTGGAATCCTGAGACAAACTTTATTTTGTTGTACTGTATGAAATAAAATAATATATTGTTTCATTACTATTGTTTATTTTTGTAATAAAGTGTACCCAAGGAATATTTCTCTCAATCTAATACTGAATAGTATCCATGGGTCTTAATAATTAAAATTAGGCTTTAATAAAAATGCTGAAATTCTATGGCGATTTCATGAATAGTTCTGATATTTTTTAATTTTATCTCATGATTTGTTCATGCAGTTTGTAAGGTTTCTAGAGATTATCAATCTTTATTTGCTTCTTCTTAAGATAAATGATGGTTGATTGTGCTTATTTGGTTGAATGATCACAAACTTAATTTCATGTACATTAATTATCTGAAAAGAACAGGAATGTGCTTTAAAGACTTTTGAGTTGATCTTCCATGATATAAACAGGAGGGGAAAAAGCTTAATAAAATGGCACAGCTGTTAGCTTTTGAAGCTGATAATATTGCACTAATATCCTGCCAGGGAAATTAGATGTAGCAGTCTGAATGATAAATTACACACAAACACGATGTAGAATTAATTAGATATATATTTGCATTTTTGGTGAACGTTCTCATAAAACATGAGGTGGGAAAAGTTGCTCCCTGCTGCAAAGAGAAAGCCCATCTTCTGACATCCAGCAGTGGTGGGAATGGGAGCAATTTACTATTTTTATTGCATACAGGAATTTTAGTTTGATTTACCAGTGGTCCCAGTAATTAGGAAATGTTGTTCTGAAATTCATTCTCCACAGATAAATACACAGCATTAGATCTAGACGGGGATAACAGCCTCATAAACTGTTGCATTTGTAAGCAAATTTGGTGATTATGGGTTTTGGCAGTTTTATTGTTTTAAACAAAAAGTAATTATATTCAGAAATATATAATCAAAATATTTGTTAGAATGCCAGTACTGTACAGTGGACATCTTAACACCGGTAAAATACGTACTAAAAACAAATGATTTAATAATAATTACATTTGAACTTCAGACTAAAAAGGTTTTATGTACCAAAGAACTATTAAATAACAATGGATTGGCTTACACAGTTCTGATTTTAATGGTTGAATTTTGATTTTAATTTATTTTAAATCCTTTAATTTAAGTCTCCGTTGACTTAAATATATGGACAACTATTTTCATCAGTTGTTATACATACTGAATGATCATTCGTCTGGCTTGTAAAAACAGATGGGAATTTCATAATGTTAAGAAAATAAAATATACCATAATATGGTACACATAATATGTGTACCATAATACAACCAATCAGTTGTTTCTAAGCCTTTGGGGTGCAGCTAGTTTTTGTTGTGTTTTTTATAATCTTAATGTTTATGTGAAGCTTTCAGGGTTATGATATATAACCGTGATGGTGAATCTATGGCATATGTGGCAGAAGTGGCACACAGAGCCATTTCTCCAGGCACGCGAGCCATCGCCCATTGCTCTTCCGGGTTCCGGCGCGCCAGACAGCTGGTCTTCACACACAGGAGTACCAGAAACTGAAGAGCAGCTGCCCAGTGTGCATGAGCGTGCCGGGAAGATGATCTTCTCATTTCCAGCGCGTACATGCACACTGGCCACCTGGTCTTCCAGTTTCTGGTGCGCATGCACGTGTGAAGACCAGTTGGCTAGTGCGCATGCACGTGCTGGAAACCGGAAGATCATCTTCCTGACACGTGCATGCGCACTGGGGGCTGCTCATCTGGTTTCTGGTGCTCCTGCGCCTGTGAAGACCAGATGGCCGGCATGCCAGAACCCGGAAGAGCAAGGGGAGCAGAGCTGCCAGCCAAGATGGGCGGGCCGGAGCTTACCTCCCTCCCCACCCAGGGGGGGTTCTTGCGTAGCTCCAGCCCGCAGCACCAGAGCATTTGGCTGGCTCGGGCAGTGGGGCAGCCTTTGCTGGCTGGGCAGCTGCCCGCCCCGCGTGCTGTTCCTGCCACCGCAAGGGCGAGATGGCGGCGGCAGTTCTCGTGCTGCTGCTTCCGGCTGGGGTACTGGAGCAGCCAGGAGGAAAAGGAGGAGGAGCCACCATCATGCATGGAGATGCTGCCAAGGGCTAAGAGGCATGCCAGCCGGGAAGTGGGAAGGCGGTGCTGAGGGGTAAGAGGTGTGCCGGCTGGGAAGCAGGAAGGTGCCACTGAGGGGTAAGAGGCACGCCGGCCGGGAAGGGGCATGTGCGCACTGGAAACCAGAAGATCATCTCAATGCCGAAAAGGTTCTCCAACACTGATATATAAGATGAGTGGCTATACAAGTTGTTGCCATTTGTTTTTGTATTTTTAATAAATATCTGCCAATTGCTTTTTTCCTTTAAGTTCTTAATATTTAAAGTGTGTCATATTAAGAACTTACTTCATTATTACAAAGGTTCAAGTTGACTTTATAAATGTAACATCCTTAAGATGTCAGCTGTTGGAAATGCAAATTCGGTTTTGCTTCACCTTTGTTAAATTTTAACTGAGCAACATAGCAAATCAGCATTCTCAATTCTGGCCACGGAGTGCATAAAAATCATGTTTGACTTGTTTTAATGTATATTTCTTAATAATCCTTCCTTGAAATTCTGTTCCAGAAAGAAATTATGCTCATCTAAAGACCTGCTGAGTATTCAACTTCAGCCCTGCTTTATTTGTTATGTCACCTTTTGCCTTTTTTCCACAGTATTATGTTATTATTTATTTGTTAAATGTATTTGCTGCCTATCTTGCCTTGGGGCTACCCTAAGCGGCTTACAACAGTAAAAACAGAGAAATTAAAAGAAGTGTTAAACTTATTTGTAAGCTTATTTGGCATTTTTGATGGCTTAAATGTTTATGTTGATGAGCCAAAGAGCCTCAAATAAAATCAATAATTGAAATTCAAAAAAAACAAAAAACTAGATTGTCATGCACAAATTTAAAGGTCTAGCATATGTTTCAAAATTCAGGGAAGCCTTATTTTTAATACAGTAATAACAAATCTCACTAATTTAGACCAAACCTTCATGATAGGCATTCTTATTTGTTTTACTAGGAATATAACATAATGTGGTGGCCCCTATTACTTTATGGACTGGTCTGTTTCAGTGTACTGTGGATAGTGAAGCCTATTCAGTAATTATCAACAGAAATATGGATGAAGCTGATTATCTAGACCCGTTCCAGTCGGGCTTCAGGCCAGGGCACAGCACGGAAACGGCATTGGTCGCATTGGTTGATGATCTCTGGAGGGCTCAGGACAGGGGTTGTTCCTCTGTCCTGGTCCTATTAGATCTCTCAGCGGCTTTTGATACCATCGACCATGGTATCATGCTGCGACGATTGGAGGGGTTAGGAGTGGGGGGCACCGTGTTGCGGTGGTTCTCCTCCTTCCTCTCTGACCGCATGCAGTTTGTGTTGTCAGGGGGGCAGAGGTCGACCTCGAGGCGCCTTGTTTGTGGGATGCCGCAAGGGTCAGTCCTCTCGCTTCTTCTGTTCAACATTTATGTGAAGCCGCTGGGTGAGATCATCCGTGGTTTCGGAGTGAGATTCCATCAGCACACTGATGACACTCAGCTGTACATCTCCACTCCGAACCACCCCAATGATGCCCTTGACGTGATGTCCCGGTGCCTGGAGGCCATGCGGATCTGGATGGGGAGAAACAGGCTCAAACTCAACCCATCCAAGACTGAGTGGCTGTGGCTTCTGGCGTCCCGGTATAGTCAGCTGGCGCCATCAATGACTATTGGGAGTGAGATCTTGGCCCCCACAGAGAGGGCTCGCAACTTGGGTGTTCTCCTGGATGCACGGCTGTCTTTGAAAGAGCACATGATGGCCGTGGCCAGGGGAGCTTTCTATCGGGTTCGCCTGATGCACCAGTTGCGTCCCTTTCTGAACCGGGATGCCCTGCGCACAGTCACTCATGCCCTCGTCACATCCCATCTGGACTACTGCAACGCTCTCTACATGGGGCTCCCCTTGAAGAGCACTCGGAGGCTCCAACTGGTCCAGAATGCGTCCGTGTGGGTGGTTATGGGTGCGACTCGGCGCGCCCATGTAACACCCCTCTTGCGCGAGCTGCACTGGCTCCCGGTGGTCTTCCGAGTGCAATTCAAGGTGTTGGTCACCACCTTTAAAGCGCTCCATGGCTTAGGACCGGGATACATACAAGACCACCTTCTGCCATCAACAACCTCCCACCGGCCAATACGCTCCCATAGAGAGGGGCTCCTCAGGGTGCCATTGGCCAAACTATGCTGACTAGCGACACCCAGGGGAGAGCCTTCTCTGTGGGGGCACTAGCCCTTTGGAATGAGCTGCCCCTAGAGATTCGTCTTAGCCCCGACCTGCGTGCCCTAAAGACCTTCCTGATTCAGCATGCCGGACTGGCCTAATATGAATTTTAAGTGGGTGTATGTGTGTTTTAATTTGAGGGCCAAATTGTATATATATGTTTTAATTGGTTTTAAATTTTATAAATTCATGTGTTTTAATGTGGCTGTACACCACCCTGAGTCCCCTGGGAGAAGGGCGGTATAGAAATCCAATAAACTCTAAACTCTAAACTCTAAATATTTAAAACCCCAGATAATAATGCAATAATATGGAGGACTTGCATTGTGTTAAGAGTTAATAATATTATCATCTTATGATCACCATATTGTCTCATGCAAGATATTTTAAAAACAAGCAAGAGCAAAATTTCATCTCTTTAGAAACAGAGCAGGAAAGAAACCAAAGTTTGAAAACAGTATTGGAATAGTCTTTATTTTCTGAAGTCCCTCCCCCCCTCAAAAAAAGAATATATCTTTAAAATGAAAGGGTCATTTTACATTTGCTGAGGATATGTACATGTGAAAGTAGGGGGTGAATCTATTGAATTTTTCTTTGCAGGGACTGTGGAGGAGATGACCATTTTACATTTCAAACCTTTTGGATAAATGTAATAATATACATCATAGCCTAGAACACATTTAGTAAGACACATGACTATTTAAGATGAAATATCTTGCATCAGTAGATTAATACATCAAATAATACATACATAATAAATACATTAAAGATAGTCTACTACTTACTGCCATTTTTTCAGCAACAGTTCAACATTATGTTGGTGCTGAAAGTATAATGAATATGATCAATCCTCCGAGTTCTTACCATTGCAACATTTCCATGGTCAATCCCATGATTGCTACCTCTTGAGTGCTTGGCAAATGGGTCGCCTTCTCAATTTGTTGCTGTCTTCTGCAATCATGTTATTGCCATTCATGGCCCTCCCTGTTAGCTTCCCTAGAAAGTCTATGGGGAAGCTGGCAGGGATGGTCACATTTTGTTGTAATAAATCTCCCCCTCCCCTCCTTCTCTGCACTTTTCTCTCACCCTTGTCCACCCTTCTCAATTCTTACTACATCTCCCTTGCATTCCCCTGTACACTCTCCCTGAGCCTTGCCATGGCTCCCTCACACCATCCTTTCATGCACTCCCTCCCTGGCACTTTCCTCCACTCTCCACCCAGCAGTAGCCATTTACCTGCCTGCCAGCTTGTTTGTGAGCTACCTGGGTCTTGCAACTTCCTGCCGGTTTCTCCATTAACTTGGTTGTGTGAAGCCAGCAGGAAGTTGCCTCGCCTAACAATTGTGGCATCTGGTTTACAATTGCATTGCTTAGCAACAGGAGTTCCAGTCTCAAGTGTTATCATAAGTCGAGAACTAACTATGTACTTTTTAGATGGTACAATAATTTCATATACTTCAGAATTGTGAAATGTGACCTTTTTTTCTTTATGTGTAAATCAGAGCCTGCTATACCGTAATCAAGCATTCAGTGACAGGCTGCCACTTAAAATACATAAAGAGTGTTCTATCACATGCATTTTCTGTAATTGATAATACTGTGCCTATTCATATTCTCTGATTCTGATAAATACTCCTATGATGCTAAAAGCAAATTATAATAACCTGTGCAGGTGAGCAAGGCTTGAAAGTAACATACTATATGTTCTAACAGCACTAATTACAAAGGTTAATATGTTTGTACTTCCTCTACATTCATTGCTTACACCTTGCCATTGATAAACTAACATTTAAAAAAAAATAATAATAATAACATATACATACACTTTAATCATCGTTCCTATCACCCATCTCCTCCCATTTATGACAGTATGACTGTAACCTTGTTGCTGGTATCCTTAAGATTTATATTGACCATTTCCCTATGACTATCATTAAGTATTGTACCTTATGAATCTTGACAAATGTATCTTTTCTTTTATGTACACCGAGAGAGTATGCACCAAGACAAATTCCTTGTGTGTCCAATCACACTTGGCCAATAAAGAATTCTGTTCTGTTCTGTTCTGTTCTGTTCTGTTCTGTTCTGTTCTGTTCTGTCCTATCCTATCCTATCCTATCCTATCCTATCCTATTCAATACTAGAAAATACTTTTAATTCTGAAGAGGATGAAGGATAAAAGTTGCCTTCTGTCTGTTGTGCCGTAAAAAATTCAAGTAATTTAAGAAATGCAACATTGCTTTAATTTTTAAAAAATGTGTTATTTACTCAGTCCCCCCCTCCCTTTTTCTTCTAAAGGTGCTCTGACAGAATGCTATGATGAACTGGGAAACAGATACCAGCTTCCTGTCTACTGCCTTGCCCCACCCATCAACATGATAGAAGAGAAGGGTGATCTAGAGACTCTGGATTTTCCGGATCCACCGCCTAACTCTGGTCACGAATGCCAGCTTCGTTTACGCCTCTCAACAGGCAAAGACCTCAAACTTGTGGTCCGCAGTATGGACACTGTGTATCACATGAAGAGACGACTACACGCAGTGGAAGGCGTAGAACCTAGAAGTCAGCGATGGTTTTTTTCAGGCCGGCCACTCGCAGACAAAATGAAACTGGAGGAACTGAAAATACCAAGGGATTATGTGGTGCAAGTAATTGTGAGCCAGCCCTTAACAAATCCCGTCTTGGTGGAGAACTGATTTTTGCCTATATGCCTCTTTTTTCCTTTCCCTGCTCTTCTATCATGTGGGAACTTTTTCACTTTCCATTCTCTCTTGCAAATGGTTTGGTTCCAAGCAAAGACCAGCAAACCCTCCATCTGTGATGGAATTTAGGTAAAAACGTACATGAGCAAATATACGCACACACAAATCTTATGTATAAACACACAATCCCTGTTTCTAAACTATCCTTGGAGGCTTTGTTCAATTTAGTATTTCTTGACACCACTCTTAACAAAGTAAATGGAAAAAATGTTTGTGATAGAGTGAGCCTGAAATTCAAGGTAGATAATGCTAAAACTGTGCTTTGAACTGTAAGTGATGAATTGATCCATGAAGGTGAAAAGCACTTTTTAAAGGAGTAAACCAAATGGAACTGTTTCATGAAATCAGTGTCACTTATAGTTCAGCTAATCATTGTAGCTCCCTGGTTAATCTAGCATGCTGTGATATTTGTAGGGGTTCTTTCTATTAGGGTTTTATTTACTGGATCAGTAAGACTCCTACTTAATAATGAGTAGCAAAGAATTAGAGATACACTCCAATAATGGTATGTTCTCACATCCAGGTTTTACTAAACATTTTGGTACATTCCAATTTATCAACAAATAGCAATTTGCTAGGGCTGACTTCAGGGTGTATAAATACTGCCTTCTGAAAAATTAGGCAATAATTTATTAAATACATAATTTCTTGTCTACTGTAAGCTGTCCACTATAAGGAAACTTGCCGTACAAATCCCTGTCACCAATAAAAGGGCCTATCAAATAATTCTACACTATTATAATTAGTGAAACATCAATTATTCAAAGTATACCAGCTTGAGAATATTAAAGGCACAGGACATCTTTTATTTAATATGTTCAACTCTGATGTTTAAAACAATAATTTTGAACCTTCTTTACCCTCAAAAATAGCAATGAACTAATTAGGGAAAAGCACAAGCTGGTTTTATACACTTTTCTAATAAGAGTTCATCTTGCTTGACAGCATTTTTACCCACTGATATTTGTATTTTCTTGCCATAATCAAGCCTGAGGTTTTTATTCCTACTTAAATATACATACATATGTACGCACACACATGTAGACACACACACTGCCATTGAACACAGAATGAGAGAAAATTATGAGAAAGACTTGGAAAAAAAACCTCACTAGCAGGTGAAAATATTATAGACTGTATAACACTAGATCTTTCAAATATACCACTAAACCCATAAGTACATTTTCGGGGATTCTGCATTGCATGTATATTTATGTTATTTTCCCTGAATCCCTAAATAAGTTGTAGAGATGGAAGCTTGCATTAAGACTGGATTCGTTTAGTTTGTAAAAGCAGCATATACAGTCAGGTCCAGAAATATTGGGACATCGACACAATTCTAACATCTTTGGCTTTATACACCACCACAATGGAGTTGGAATGAAACAAACACAATGTGCTTTAACTGCAGACTGTCAGCTTTCATTTGAAGGTATGTACATCCAATTCAGGTGAACAGTGTAGGACTTACAGCAGTTTGCATATGTGCCTCCCACTTGTTAAAGGACCAAAGGTAATGGGACAGAATAATAATCATAAATAAACTTTCCCTTCTTAATAATTGGTTGCAAATCCTTTGCAGTCAATACAGCCTGAAGTCTGGAACGCATAGACATCACCAGACGCTGGGTTTCATCCCTGGTGATGCTCTGCCAGGCCTCTATTGCAACTGTCTTCAGTTCCTGCTTGTTCTTGGGGCATTTTCCCTTCAGTTTTGTCTTCAGCAAGTGAAATGCATGCTCAATGGGATTCAGGTCAGGTGATTGACTTGGCCATTGCATAACATTCCACTTCTGTCCCTTCAAAAACTCTTTGGTTACTTTTGCGGTATGCTTTGGGTCATTGTTCATCTGCACTGTGAAGCGCTGTCTAATGAATTCTGCAGCATTTGGCTGAATGTGAGCAGATATTGCCTGAAATACTTCAGAATTCATCCTGCTGCTTTTGTCAGCAGTCACATCATCAATAAATACAAGAGAACCAGTTCCATTGGCAGCCATACATGCCCACGCCATGACACTACCACCACCATGCTTCACTGATGAGGTGGCATGCTTAGGATCGTGAGCAGTTCCTTTCCTTCTCCATACTCTTCTCTTCCCATCTGTCAGGGCATTGATTAATCTCATGTTTGGCTCTGGGACAAATCACCCTGGTTAGAGGATGGATCGTGGCTTATTCCTTGTTGCAATATTCTGAAAAGAAATCCCGAAGAAAAGTTCTCTAATAAAACTCATTTATTTGTTATAAAGAAAATAAAACACCTCACTAACTAAGAAAAGTAATTGCTACATTTTGAAATAGTTCTTGCAGGCTATTTCTCAGCCGGACCTTTCTGGAAAGAGAACAAAGGAAAGAGTGTGTGAAGGAATGTGAAAGAATGCGGACATGCGTAGTAAAATACTGATAAGGAACTTGGCAAACTACAGTAAGTCTATTAGTCCAAAAATAATGAAGCTCAGCTGGGAAATAAAAAAACGCAGTGACACTATCACTCTGGTACAAGTTGATCTTGGTCTCATCTGTCCATAGGATCTTGTTCCAGAACTGTGAAGGCTTTGTTAGATGTTGTTTGGTAAACTCTAATCTGGCCTTCCTGATTTTGAGGCTCACCAATGGTTTACATCTTGTGGTGAACCCTCTGTATTCACTCTGGTGAAGTCTTCTCTTGATTGTTGACTTTGACACACATACACCTACCTCCTGGAGAGTGTTCTTGATCTGGCCAACTGTTGTGAAGGGTGTTTTCTTCACCAGGGAAAGAATTCTTTGGTCATCCACCACACTTGTTTTCTGTGGTCTCCCAGGTCTTTTGGTGTTGCTGAGCTCACCGGTGCATTCCTTCTTTTTGAGAATGTTTCAAAAGTTGTTTTGGCCACGCCTAATGTTCTTGCTATCTCTCTGATGGGTTTGTTTTGTTTCTTCAGCCTAATGATGGCTTGCTTCACTGATAGTGACAGCTCTTTGGATCTCATCTTGAGAGTTGACAGCAACAGATTCCAAATGCAAATAGCACACTTGAAATGAACTCTGGGCCTTTTATCTGCACATTGTAATTGGAGTAATGAGGGAATATCACACACCTGGCCATGGAACAGCTGAGAAGCCAATTGTCCCATTACCTTTGGTCCCTTAACAAGTGGGAGGCACATATGCAAACTGCTGTAAGTCCTACACCGTTCACCTGAGTTGGATGTACATACCCTCAAATGAAAGCTGACAGTCTGCAGTTAAAGCACATTGTGTTTGTTTCATTCCAACTCCATTGTGGTGGTGTATAGAGCCAAAGATGTTAGAATTGTGTCAATGTCCCAATATTTCTGGACCTGACTGTATACCCCATAAACGTTTAAACAAGAGAGCATCTTTCAAGTGCTCTTATCTTCCATGACACCTGTTCATACTTATGCATTTAACAGTGTATAAAGAGTGCCTGTGGCAAATAGATTATAACTTTTTATAGTTGATAGATTTTAAATGATGTTGTCATTTATCTAGAGCTCAATGTGAACCTTAGCAATATCATACAGGATTTTCCCTTTAGAATCTGAAGGTAAGACATTCTTTAGGGGAGTAGGTACAGTATATCCTTTAAGAATGCTTTGAGCAAAATTAGTAATGATTCTCTTTAGAATAATAAATACATTTGGAGAAGGGCACTGATCAAGTGTATCAGAACAATGGGCATATTCATTAAATATGTTATCTTAAAGTGGGGCCTGTCATTGGGTCTGCTCCTTGATTCTGACATGGTCATGTGCTTGGTAGTAATGTCATCATTTCTGACACAACTTTTGCTGGCTAAATACCAAATCTAATTTATCTTTCTTTATGCACATGGATCTGACAGTTTCAGAACTTCCAGTTTTAATTAAATTTATTTTTTAAAATAAAAGATACAATGTGCATTACCCCGATTTTTTCATTTAGAAATCAGTTTTTACATTTACATGAATGTATCATGTGTCACAACTATAGAACTCTTCTGGCCATTGTCTATTACTGTTAGATATAGATTAGAGTCAGTTAGTAACTAAAATGTTTTTGTTTAGTTAGTAACTAAAATGTTTCTATGAAAATGTTTTCATAGAAATGTTCAGTAAACAGTAACTTTTTTTAAAATTGTTGATTTAAGTTTCCCTTTTCCTGAAACAGTTTTTGGTGTTCCATTAATATTAAGAGCCCAACAGTCATTGAATGAATTCAAAATCCTGCATATCACTAGGGATACTTTTTAATATTGTGACTATATGAAGCAAGGTCTGGATGTGCTTTAAGTGAAATGTAAAGTTCTACAATGTTAGAATTTTCATTTATTTGGGCAGTGCCTAGATAAGGAATATGCACTACATATTGTGCAAGTTACAGGAATATAATCAGGAAAACTATGACAAAAATTATTATTTAGCACTTTTTATTTTTTCCAGGACTATTTAGAAAAGGAAGAAAAATTGCAACTATTAAGGAAAAAGTGAAAGTATATATAGTCTGATGATTTTTGTAACCATTGCTCTTTTTTATGTATTCACCAAGTTTATCAAATTAAGTTTCTTGATTGTTCCCCAGTGAATTATATTTACAGTACCGCTGCCACAAGTATGGGGATAGGGATGGTGGGATCAGGACAAAGGGAGTGAGCACCAGCTCCTTCCTATCATTGGCATTCACTCAACTCTCTGTAGGAAAAATATGACAGGGAAATCTATCCTATATGAGTGTTGTCAATTAATAGGTAAATCAAAAGAGCAAGGAACATTCCTTTTTCTCTTCATTGAGATAAGAGAGTTTTCCTGTTGTTCAGAGAGCGAAGTTGATGCTTTTCAGTGTTGATGCATCAGGATTCAATTGTGGATCCTCAACAGCTGCCCAAGAATGCTGGCCAATATGAGTATAAACCTTTTAGAATTACTGTAATAATTTTGTAAAAGCAACATCTGGAATATAGTCAGTGTAAAGTGCTTATCAGTAACCATATTGCTCTGAAGTAACAACCATCATTAGAATAGTTTCTGTATTTCCCACAGTCCCTAGTGGGCTTTCATAAACAGAATGCACATTGGGACAAAAAAATTGTAACGCTCTGATCATTTTTCTCTAACCTGCTTATAAATCAGCATGGAAGGCACATTGCAAGACATTTCCTGAAAAAATGAAGGACACCACTCTTACAAATAGAATGGAATACTTCGAAAGAAAAAATAAATTATCCATAAAGTTAGAATTTGGTTAACACCAACAAAAGATCAATTTGGGGCAGGTGCATGACAATTTAATTACTACTTCTTTTGCACTGATATAAGATCTTCTATTCATAAATAAGGGATATTTAATATCTGGTTTAATTCATGCGTATCTTGAATAATTTTTACTTTGAATAGAAATTGTTTCTCAGAACAAAAGAAGAGTCTGGTGAGTCTATTATTTCTTTTTCTGCTCCACAGAAGTTTATAATATGTCATCACCATCATCATCCGTCTCTTAAGAAACAATAAGCCAACTACTGTAGGCTTTTAATGTTGTTAATCTGCAAGAATAATCAGTTATTCTGCAATAACAGAAGTTCAAGCAAGCATTGTATTAAACTCTATTTGTATGTAGTCCAGATTCCGATTCACTGCGAGCTCGTTGTCTACAAAATGTGCCTCCCTCTTTACTCCTGTGTAAGGTAGTATATATGATAAAGATATAATACTTGGCTGAATTATCAAAAGCAAACAATAGTTTCCCCAATAGCCACATCAAATTCCCATAACATTTCTAATTAACATTCTTTTGCTGTTGAATTAGTGCTACAAATATATCCAATTATAGTAACTCTGTTTGCACCCTTGTCTGGCAAAGATGTCAGTACTATATGCTTCAGTTAATGGGTAGTTTATAATTTGCTTATTCTGGAATAGTCAGAAAGACAAAGGACAGTAGCAGTGTTTGTACTCCATTATGTACAACAACATAGCAACAAATTAATATAAGACGGACAACATTCACTGTGTTTCACTATGCTGTGGAAAAAGTTGTCAGTAAGATTAAGTAAATGATCACATAAAAATCATAATTCATCTCTAAGGAGATGTTCAAGAAATAATTTGATAAAGAAAAATAGTGTGTTTTAAAAATAAATTGATGGGTAAATCCCTCCATTTTAATAATAGTATGGTTTCACAATTCATTACATAAATAGTTAGGATTTATACATAGATGGTAAGAGCAATATATTTAGTTGGGAGTTAATGTTTGATAACACATGATTTAAACAACTGACAAGGTGCAGAAAAGACTTTATAGAAGTGCTTTCATTTTTTAAACATCCAAATCCAAACATAAATTAATCCAACAATTATGTGTATATGTGTGATGTGTATACACAGACAGACATACACGTAGATGCATTGGAAGCATTGGCATATTGGTGTTGATTTTTTTTCTTGCTTAATTTTGAATGTTATAATCATATACATCTCTTGAAATTCTTTGATGTTTCAACACAAACAATCCTTATGTTTGTTTCATTTTTACATGATTGTGCATTCATAGTGTTTGCTTATGATTATGTGGAGCTTTCCTTGAAGTGCAGTTTCTTCATCAGTCTAGCAATGTGCTTCACTTAAAAATGCCTCCCAAGTGTGCTTTGAAAAATCCATTTCTATCAAACAATATGTAAATAGCAGAAAGAAATGCTGTGTATGGGAGATACAGAAATGAACCAATCTACATTTTCATCATTTTACTCAAAGCAAAAGAATATTAAACTAATACTAGCCATTTCTATTGGCTAGCATCCATATTCCCAAGATTAGTTGGCTGATTTTTAAAATAATGATGTAGCTATGAACTATTCATTCTTTAATTCAACTCTTTTTTTTCCCTCCGTCTCATTTTAAGAGTGGACTATTGGAAAGCATATTGGTAAATGTATAGAACTAAAAAATTTAAAAGTGTGGGGTTTTTTCCCCTTAGAATTTGCTTCATAATTAAGTTTGAACAACAGTGATGGATTTCCACATGGCATTAGCAATCCATGAAAAATTATGTTCATGCCTTCTGATTAAGGTCACGGGGTAAATATTTCTGGAAATAGTGCAGATGGTTTGTAAAACAGAACTATGCTGTTAAACAGAAGATCCAAATATTGCTTTTATGGAGAACAGTAAAAATGCATCTGTTTGATTCCTTTTTCTTTCCTGGTAGTTAAATCAAGCCAAAGATGGAAGTCAGCTTAAATGGGTATTTTTGGTTTTTTTTTTTATTTGAACTCACAGATATACAAACCATTTCTGGGGCTTTAACTGAAATAATGAAATTGCCTTCTATCAAGGGCCTTCGTTGTGCCTCTTTTCTCCATATCCTGGGAATGTCAAGAAACTGGAGACAGCCTTTCGAGCAATTGTGCATTAGGCAGCTGGCAGTGTATAATGACACTCTTTTCTGGTGTGCTGAGCAAAGGACTCAAGTTTAATGTCCTATTTGCCTCATGGTAGTGGCTTCCAAAGATGGCTGGTACCATCAATTTGTATTTCTTGAATAAAATATCTTCTCTTTTTCTGGTAAATCCTTTTTTGTACACTGTTTGTTGTGTGCCATGTATCTAAGAAGCATTCATGTTCTACAGATGATTAGTAATGCAGTACACAGTTTCAGTGGCTAAAAAGAAAGTCAGAGGAATTACAGTGATGTGACACCTTTTCTTCCTGTAACTTTTATAAAATTAAAAAAAAATAACTTTATGAATGGGTTGTACGAACCTTTTTTAAGAGGTTTTTTTTTTCATTAGCCCAAGAATAACTTCTTCCTCTCTCTGAAGATACAGCAAATTTTCTCAAGCCACGGCTTATATTCATGCTGTATCTCTGTCACGTCAGTAGTCCAGGCTCATATTCAGACATCTCTATGCTTAGATTTCTGAGCACAAATAGTTCTTTTTGAACAGTGAAATGAAAAGTATAAATGAAACTTTTTGATTTCAAAAAGGTAGGAATGTATATTATAGAATGCTATGTGTTAAAAAAACAAAATGCCTTTTAGTTATTTTGGGGCGGGGGCTAAACAATAAAGCTAATACAGGATATGTCTTGTTTTAAAATACAAGTTCTGTGTTCTTTCTCTCTTAAACTAGAGCTAAATTATTTAATGGTTGTTTCTATCCTGCCTTGCTGGAGTCTGTAGGTCAGCAAATGCCCTTGTATATATTATTATAGCAATGCACTGGTATGCCCAATTGAAAATTCTAAATCTGTTTAGAGCATTCAAAGTACTGGTTACATAGCATCATTACTTCCTTATGTCATTTTTAGCTTCTACTCAAGAGTGGTAAGTGGGAAGATTTTGGTCAGAAAGGTCCCACAACCATTGATCATTTTTAGTCAGTAAATCCTTCATTGCTAATTTGAATATAGAAGTGCCATGGTTATGAATGAATATTTAATACATTTACATCTCCCTTAAGATTTTTATTTTGCTTGATTACTGTTCTTTTAGTTCCCTTTTCAATTACCATCTTCCAAAATCTACCTTTTTTTCTATGGATCATAAACCTATATATCTGATGTTTTTGGGATTATTTACCATGGTGTTTGTGAAATACTTCTTAAAATTCACACATATGAAAAAATAATAAAAGAGTTCAAAAAGTGATAGTGGGCTTTTTTAGATATGTCCCCATCTTTGGAAGAAAAAAAAAATCAACTGTACTACTATACATAAACATGTGCTAAGAAACCACAGCAGCTGCCAGCATGCATGCAAATCAAAATGTAGAAAACAATTTTTTAATGTTTTAGAAATATATTAGATATCTCAATGCAAAAATTCAGGACAAAGTTTTGATACTATGATGGAAAGTCAGGCTGACCCCTGACATTCTTTCCCCCAAATGAAATGTGGTTCAATATTCTCTATCCTAAAGAAATGGGAAAGTCCTTTTGCAATTAAAAAAAAAAAGAAACCTTTGTTTGAAAACTACTCATGTTCGAAAAGTTTATATCGTAGTTTTCACATGACTCTTGGACATACTAGTTTATTGCTATATAGGGATAGGAATATCTATTGGAGCACTTTCCTTATGTGTGGTGCCCAGAATCTATTTATGTACCATGGATATTTGTAGTAGGCCACAATCTACTCTTTTTAGACATGCCGTCTATCTAAATGAAGTCAAAGGAAAGTATAAAGTCCTGCAAATGTATAGTTGTGGATGTGGAAGATCAGACAATGAATCAGTTGGGGGGTGGGGAGGCATTAAAAGGAGTTAAGTTTTGGCCTAAAGCAGCTCCAGACTAGTTGGGGTGAGGCTTCCTCTCCTAGGTCAGCCATGTTAAGTAAAGAAAAAGATAGGCAGGGAAGTGGTTGTTTTGATTTCTCAAGCTATCCTAGAGCTCTGGACTTTTCAAACACCTCATCCATCCATTCTAGATCAAGGTGTCCCATCTTATACTGCTCTTTTTAAATATACATTGCTCCATGCAATTCTTCCATTTTTCTAATAAGCAAGCACCCAATTCATCCCAATAAGTGATCAGTTGTTTCTTGATTCTCAACCTTCTTTTATTTTTTAAAAAATAGGTTATACTTTAAAAGGTGATTTATTCTTTAAAGAACACTGAATATTACAGCACACCATCTTATTATTACTGCCCACTAGTATCTTGTTGCTGTTTTGAACATGTTGCAAGGTTTTCTTATCACTATCCTTTTGGTTTAAATTGCTGAACCTTGGAGAGCTGTCACAGATTAATTCTATATGCTGTTAGAACTACTTCTGTTTAAATCTGGTAAAATCAGCATACTCTTCTTCTGCTTCAACTTCAGCTGCGGCTTTGGCCATCTCTCTTTTCAGTTTATCTTTTGCTTTCCTCTGTTGTCTATCAATGCAGAAGATCGTAAACATTCTAAACTCCTTGTAGTTCAATTGCTAATGGAGAAAAACGTAATAGTATTTCAGTGGAATATTGACAGCAGGCTTATAATGTAGCGATACCTTGGTACTCAACTGGTTTGAAATTCATCAAATTTGGTACTCAATGCATTTTGACCTGAAAATTTTGTCCTGGTACTCATTGTTTGTTTGTTACTCAACATACATTAGAACTCGTCAGTATCAGCTGCCTTGTGACTCACTACATTATTCCTTGTGGGAAAAATTTGTTTAGTACTCATTGTTTTTGATACTCATCATGCCTCCTGGAACCAATTAACAATAAGTACCACTGTAATCCCCAGAAGGTATTTCTGTCACTCTTCAACCAGTATCCCGCTTCACTCTTCCTCCCTTCTCTATTAGTACTCCTCAAACTAAATCTCAGAAGTCCATAGAACTGCCTGAATATAATACTAAGCATTCATCTATTTACAAAGGAAAATAGTCTCACTTTACCATTCTATATATGGAAGTAAATTGGATTGGAAGGTGAACCTTACTTCAATATTCACAACTGCTTGAATAAGGTTTCCATTTGTAAGTGTTTTGAAGTAAAAATTGACTGTAGCCTTCTAACCAGCTATTAGAAGCTGCATCACCCAAACTCAGTGGGTGATATTCTCCAGTGCATGCTGGAGTTGAATTCTGGAACGGGCCATGTTATCAAAAGTTGAAACACAGTAAGCTGATAAACTTTTTCGAGCTTGAAGCTTCATGTAATCTTCTTAACAAAGAGTCAAATAGAATTTTTTTGTGAATTTACAGAATTTGCAAGTAACTAATTCTTACACAGGAACATCTGCTCTAAATTAATTAAACCTGGTGGCAATTTGAGGATCAGAAAGTTTCAATGTCAGTGGATGCTGCCATGTTGATACAAGAAGAGAGCCCATGGTTACCGAAATCCTTCATAACATTCACATGAACTTGAATCGTGTTACATATGGCTGACAGGTTAGAAAGGATATCATGCCTTCTTAAAATGTCTAAGCCCTTCCATTGCACCAATTTGAACATTCCGTATTTGTATATAAATAAAGTGTGGAACTATTCACAGAAATGCAAGGCAAAAATAGCAAGATTTTGAGCATGACACAACAAGCCCAAAATTATCCCAAAAATAAATCATGCTTGCTACAAAATTAACTTTGTGGGTTTCTTTCAACAAGTCCTGGCTAAGTCACACACTGCTTTACCATGATTTTTAAATGTAGCAGAGAGACTAACATACCAGGAGGACATTAATTTTTGGTGGGCAGCACAGTTACAATATTAAGTGGGGTTGCTTCTGGATACAAAAGATACTGAGATGACACAGCTGGGAAGGAGGAACCTGTCTCCTGTGTTCATCATTTTTGATTACCTCATCACCTGAGATGTCAAAGTCCTTGAATATCTGACTCAGCTCAGTCTTTCTAACATTGAAAAGGAAGCGCGTGGCCTGGAACTCTGCTGGAGCAACTGTATGGCCCCCATCAATGTCGAGCAACTCAAAAACAGCATGAGAATGACGATACATGAACTGTTTTTCAAGATGGTTCTAGTCAAAGACAGAAAGGCAAGAACAGCAATAAGAACTACTGCTCTAGTCTCTTCAAACATTAAAACTAAACAATACTGATAGATATCAGGGGAAAAAAACACAATTTGAAATGCTTCTAAAATGGCAATCTGAATGCGAACAAGAGTAAACCTCATGGATAGGATAACTAGCAATTGTTTTCCTGTGATGGCTTGATGATGATAAGATTTAATGAGATGTATGATTAAGGATAATTGTACAAAAGAACCAAATGTTGGGAGTTACTAATTTGTTCAGAAGTTAGCCTGTAGACCAGGGCTGTCAAGTCACGACCCAGAGGTCGGATGCACGACACCATGCACAGAGCCTTGGTAGTACAGTGGTCTAAAGCACCCTGTTATTAAGACCAGCTGCCTGCAATTACTGCAGGTTCAAATCTCGCCAGGCTCAAGGTTGACTCAGCCTTCCATCCTTTCTAAGGTAGGTGAAATGAGGACCCAGATTGTGGGGGCAATAAGCTGACTTTGTATAAATATACAAAAGGATGAAGGTTATTGCTTAACGCATTGTAAGCCGCCCTGAGTCTCCGGAGAAGGGCGGCATATAAATCAAATTAAAAAAAAAAAAAAAAAACCTCTGGCCACGGCCACACCTGCTTTAGCAAAGGGAAGAAAGTCACAATATGTCATGTGATGACGCTGTGAGTTTGACACCCCTGCTGTAGACCATAGGATATCTTTCAGGCAGGAGGACTTCAAAAAATTTTTGGTTTGTGCTCATGCAACACATATCTAAAACAAAGCAAAAACATATCTTCTTATATTTAAAAAACTGTCAGGCATTTCTACTTTTCCTGACATTCTTAAATCTAAATAACGCTGTACACAGTTAGTCTTTGTTTACCAGCCACTCATTCAGAACCATTCAAAATTGTGATGGCACTGAATGAATGGTACCTAGGACCAGTCCTTGAAATTCTGGCTATTGCAGCAACCCTACAGTCACATGGCTGTGATTTGAGCACATGGGAACTGGATCACACTTAATGGTTGCAGCATTCTGCATACATGAGCTAGCCATTTGTGACTTTCCTTGCTGGCTTCCCTGGTGTAAAGTCAATGCAGAAGCTGGCAGGAAAGGTTGCTAGTTGCTCTGGCAAGTTCTACTAGCCTTTTTGTGCTTGCACCCACTGCATCATGCATCCCAGTCTTCCTACACTTGGGTGTGGCCTGTTGCAGCCTTCCCAAAACCTCCCTCAGCCTCCCTTTCACTATCTCCACCCCGCTGAAGCACCATCGCACTCCTGTCAATCAGGCTACTTTTGAAAATGGTACTGATTCAGAAGGCCATTAAACCCAGATTTTAAAAAATAGTCTTGTAGCAGCTGACAAGTATATGAGAAGCTATACAGAGTAGAGAGAGGGAGATTCTTACTGTACAGTGCAGCTGCCCATGACTGTTTCTTTGAGTCATATTGTACAAGCCCCCCATATACCTGTCATATAATGCAGGGGTCCCCAACCCCCAGTCTGTGGATCAGCACCAGTCCACAGCATGGCAGAAACTGGTCCATGCAAACAAGTGAAGCTCCATCCTCAGGATGCAGGCAGCACACAAAACCATGTCTTCTCCAGTCCATGGAAAAACCTCTCTACAGAACCAGTCCCTGGTGCTCAAAAGGTTGGGGGCCGCTGATATAATGGACTTGATTTTCTGAATAATATGTCCTTTTTAAAGCTAGGATATAAGTAGATGCTAGTCACAGGAGAAGAATGCAAGACTGACATTTATTTCTATCGCCACAAACCATGATTTGCACAGGTTAAGAGCATATCTAAACTATTTACAATTAAGTAAGGTTTGTTTCTTAGTGGTAAGGGATCACTGATAATCTTTTCATCTGAAGCAAAAATCTTTCTTATTCCACCATAGCATTTGAAAATAAAACTGCTACTAATTCAGCTAAATACAATTAGGCATAGTTTACCCATTGTGCAAATTGCAATTTTTGAAAATTACGACTTTGAATAAAATGACATACTGACACATCAGGCTCAGTTGCCTTCTGTCAGCAGGAGCCAGATGCCCAAATTGTAGAAGCTATTATCATGGTTTGTTTATATCAATTCCTGACCTGGCATCCCAGACTAGTCTCTATTCTAATAAGCCAGAATTAGAAGATATAGGTTATTATTTTTTTAATCCATTAGATTCTTGGGAAAATCTGGAAAGGATTCTGATGTAAATGATATAAGAAAACATGTGACTTCTAGTCAATTGATTCCCATAGAACAGGGGTCAGTAACCTGCGGCTCCGGAGCCGCATGTGGCTCTTTCATCCCTCTGCTGCGGCTCCCTGTTGCTGGTCGGCTCCACAATTGATAGGGCTTTTGATTAGGACAGGTAGAGGAAAAAGGACACAGTGCTAGGAGGAGACTATGATGGGGGAACGAGACTTCCGGTTGACTCCAGAATTGAATGGGGGCTTCTAGTTAGGACCTTTGTGGCTCTTTGAGTGTTTAAGGTTGCCGACCCCTGCCACAGAAGCTGCAGCCAAGGATGAACAGGTAAACACTCTGTAAAGATATGTATGCTTTTTCACTGGAAAATCAGAAATGAGAAATCAGCTTGTGTGAACAATTGGACTAAGAATTGTCCATCCATCTGCAGAATGGAAAATGCTTGCAAAACAGATTTTTCTTCACTTAGCAACCCAAAACATCTCTAAAAATCCTGCTATATAAGTAAAAAATAGATTACATGATGAACGTGGACTTCATTGCAAAACCAAATGTTTCTTCAGTCACCTTCAGCAATCTAATTAACTTACCTCATGTGCCATTATGATGCACACCAACATGTAGAATTCATCAAAGCCGATCTCCCCTTTGCCATCCCAATCCAGTAAATCAAAGACCAGCATAATCTGAGGTTTGGACAGATTAGTTACATGACGAAGGAAGTAGTAAAACTGCAGATCTGAAAAACAATGTGGTGTTAAGCATTGTGTGTGCAAAGGATCTACTGTAGTTAATAAGACTATTAATAAAAATGTATTGTACATTTTAAAATATCCAGATATCGGCTGCAAAAATCCAGATGGTGGTACAGAAAAAAAAATTGTTTATATCTTATAGTAGCCATCTTAATTTTTGCTACCCAAATCTGGTAACTCTTAATATATTCCAACTTGTAATACAGCAGCTATATTGATTAGATTTACACATAATGGTTTACTGAATAAGTGACAATACATTTTGTACAACAGAATAATTAAAATCTAACAACATATTTTAGCTTAGTTAAATATTTGAATCTAGCCACTGAGTAACAGCACACCAAATGAGAGTAGATATCAATATCTCAAAACAATCTCTCAAAGACATTTTCCACATTACTGAAAAAGTTTATTTAAAATACATAACTGAATATATGTACATTCCTGGCTCTAACTGCAACCTAAAATAAGTTGCATGGTGGTGTCACAGAATCAAAAAATTATGGTGCCTTAAATCAAATGAAGAGGCATTCATTCCTGGAAACAAGTATGAAAACCAGTTTTCCTAAATTTGGAAGCAGTCTATCCTTTGCTCTACTTGAGACAGCCTAATGCAGTACTCCCAATCTGGCACCTTCTAGATCAGGGGTCTCCAGCCTTGGCAACTTTAAAGACTTGTGGACTTCAACTCCAGAGCGAAGCTGACTGAGGAATTCTGGAAGTTGAAGTCCACAAGTCTTAAAGTTGCCAAGGTTGGAGATCCCTATTCTAGATCAGATGGGATTGAAACTCCTATAATTCCCAACTCATTTGCTATACAGTCTGGAATTCTGGGGGATTAGTTCCAAAGCATCCAGAGGGCACCATGTTTGGAAAAGCTACACTATGAAGTTTGCTTTGTGAAGCAACTTCAAGGAAGTGCTTCAAAGAACCTCTCAAAGATGCTTTTCAAAAGGCAACTGGACTTTGTTTTTTCCTTGAAGACGTTTCACTTCTCATCCAAGAAGCTTCTTCAGTTCTGGCTGAATTGTGGGGAATGGAGGGATTCTTAGCAATCATCTGGTCATTAGCACTCTGAAGGTCAGTTATTAGCTCTCTGAGACTTGTGGAAACCATTTGGGGGTTAATCTTACCCTCAGGTTCACCTGAATCAGAATGCAGGAGATACCGTAGGTGGTGTCATATCCCTCTCCCTCTGTTGAAAAAGGGCTGTTCAATTTTAACATAGATGGCCTCTTTTACCCCTTTCAAACCAGTGGTCATCTTTCCTTGAAGACAGCAAGGTCGACATTCTGGACACCACTTATCTCCTGTCTACAACACAATCCTTTCAGCAGTCCCAAAAAGGTTCCATACCCATTTGCACTCCGATTCACGTGAACCTGAAGGTACAGATATTTATTTATTTATTTATTTTTGCGATTTATATGCCGCCATTCTCCCGAAGGACTCAGGGCAGCTTACAACAACAATCAATAATACAAATCACAAAATAACAAAATAAGTTAAAAAACCCTTAAAAACCATATTTAATATTATTACAGTTTGTGCAACCCCTAGCAGATCAAGTTATTTGACGGAAGAGCCACGTCTTCAGTTCGCGGCGAAAGGAGAGGGGGTCCGGGACTATCCTGAGCTCGGTGGGCAAATCATTCCAGAGAGTCGGCGCTCCTACAGAGAATGCTCTCCCCCTGGGGGCCGCCAGTCGAAATTGTTTGGCTGACAGCACCCTGAGGAAGCCTGCTCTGTGGGAGCGCACGGGACGGTGGGAGGAAGGCAGAAGATGGTCCTGCAAGTACCCCGGGCCTAAGCCATGTAGGGCTTTATAGGTAAGCATCAGCACCTTGAAACGGACCCGGAGAACAACCAGCAGCCAGTGCAGCTTGCGCAGGAGAGGTGTTGCACGGGAGTAACGAGGAACTCCCGTAACTACCCGCGCGGCTGCATTCTGGACCAGCTGGAGCCTCCGGATGCATCCCAAGGGCAGCCCCATGTACAGGGCGTTGCAGTAATCCAACTGAGAAGTAACAAGGGCGTGGGTGACCATGGCTAGGGGATCTCGGTCTAGGAAAGGGTGCAACTGGTGCACAAGACATATTTGTGCGAAGGTCCTCCTTGTTACGGCTGTCAGATGGTCATCCATGGACAGCCGAGAATCCAGGAAGACACCCAGATTGCGAACCCTAGCGGAGGCGGTAAGAGTCTCCCCTCCTATCACTTTATCAGATAAATCCCCAGGTGGCTTCAATAACCAGATGACTGCTAAGAATATAACCTCTCCAATTCCTTATCAGTCTACTGATTTTTGCCACAGAATTGTCACAATTAGATCAACTTTGAACTCCTAATTCCAGATAGGGGCTATGTTTGCATGATATATGAACCTCGGCGTAGCCAAGTTTATTTAACCTAGTAAGTTGTGCAAATTCAGCTTGTGTAGTTAGTTTACACCTTAATATGTCACAGTAATCCCCCGTGAAATTGAGCTGAGTAAATCATGGCTGATTTAGCCACAGTTGAGTGTGTCAAGGAAATACAGCTACTGGGACAAATAAGAAAAAGTTAGTGGAATATACTAACAAGAGAGGCATGTAATGCAATCTACTTGGGTGCATCTTTGATAGTTAACCTACAGGTATGTTAAACTGTTCAACATAGCAGTATCATTTGATTTCCAAGTCTGAAGATATTCAATGACGTGTATTCAGTTTTCTCATTTCAATGAAGTTGAAAAAAACCCCAATATTAAAGAACTTCAAAAGGAAATAATACAATAATGATAATCCTATATTTCATTTCTATAGACTTTTCTTTAGCTTCCATATCCTACTTACTATTCAAAGAGTTCTTCTTATGAACATCAAGTAGATGAAAGTAAGCTGTCAGAGCTCTGGCATTTCTGACAGATAATAAGCAATATATTTTATCTAAGCACAGAAAATGAAAGAAGCTTTTTGGCTTCAGCCTCATCTTGCCATAGAAGAATTACGTTTATATTTGGAATTCTGGAATTGACCATGGTGATGCCTACCCTACAATCCCAGAATTCCATCCTGGAATTAGAACAAAAAAGACTTGTGCTGTTCCATAAAAGTTTTGCACCCAGAGAACAAGGATGGATAAGAAACATTTCTGTCTTGTGTTTATCTATATGAAGTTATCGGCTAGATTAAGCATCAATCTAATTCTTTTAGTTTCCCTACAAGAGCAGTAGGCACCAGTATACTGGTATTGCAGACAATTTATTGATGCCTGCTACACTCCCTTCCCCATGTAACATTTAAACAGTTCTTCAAGAGGACCAAAGACACCCCTCTGCAAATTGTCAATACTATCATCTTTATGTAAACAAATGGCTTCTAAGTCTCATTATTATGATATAGACCCTATTGGCCTTCTAAGGATAAATGGGATGGGATTTATTTGGAAGTAAGCCTCCTGACCAGAAAAAAAAAAAGGCAGGGAAATTGGGAGCCGAGAACATCTTGAGAACCTTGAGAGACTAACAAGGGCTTACCATTTGCATTCTGCTAAACCAGTATTTTTCAAACTTGGCAACTTTAAGATGTGTGGACTTCAATTCCAAGAATTCCAGACATGCCACTCTTCACCTTTTTCTATCATTCATATGTATATTCAGTCCAGTTTTCAGACTTTTATTGCTGAAAGGTAAGTACATTTACGAATAAAATTATATCATAAATCTTCTGATTGCAGATTACTTCTTAAATGTTGCTATTTTTCTACTATACTACTGTACAATAAGAAAGATCATTAGGATGTTACAAGATTGTTATTTTCCTGTTTTTCATCTACCATATCTGCTACATAAGCGAGCTCTGAAATTCCACATAGTTCCGCTAGATGTCTCTACTAGATTATATTTGTCAACATTTCTTATTTAAAAAAATAACTAAAACATTTCAATGGTTAAATTTGGATGCAAGATTAAAAATGAAATTAAAAATATTTTTTAAAGTACTAAATATCTTGTGAGATAGCCAAATTTGATTTTTCTTGTTGAAGATTTTGCCAAATTCAGGCAGAAAAACAGAATTGAAGGGTTGGGGATTTCCAACAAGACAGGCATCTCATACAGTAGAATCAGAGGGCCAAAGCTCACAAGCTGTAAATATTCAAGAAAGAACATGAACATCTTGTGAGCTTTGGCACTCTGATGACATGTTGAAGACATGGTCTGCTCCAAATATAGGACTCATATTTTGAGAATATATCTACTGTGTAGATAACTTTGCTGACATCCCTTATGTGATTATTAGCCATGCTGGATAGATTTATAAGAATTGAGGCCCAAACATCGGGACATAACTTTGCCCACTTAAAGAAGGAATATAACACAGCAGTTAATTTGAAGGCTTGGCTTTCTGCAGCATGTCAGAGTCTATTTAACAAAAGTGGAGGGGTATTTTTAAGGGATGAAATGAGTGCCTGACTCATGAAATGAGTGCCTTGCAAGGACCTCCTTCATCTTTTTTTTAGAAAAGACAAGATAAATGTCCCATCACTTCAAAAATATGTCTATATATATCAGTGGTGGGTTTCAAAAATTGTTACTACTGATTCTATGGGTGTGGCTTGGTGGGTGTGGCGTGGCTTGGTGGGCATGGCAGGGGAAGGATACTGTAAAATCTCCATTCCCTCCCCAATCCAGGGGAAGGTTACTGCAAAATCCCCATTTCTTCCTGATCAGCTGGGACTTGTGAGGCAGAGAATAGATGGGGGCAGGGCCAGTCAGAATTTTTACTATTGGTTCTTTGAACTACTCAAAATTTCTGCTACCGGTTCTCCAGAACTGGTCAGAACCTGCTAAAACCCACCTCTGATATATATGTATGGTGCAGGTATATATTTATGTATGTATATGGTGTAGTATATGCGTGTTATATATATGTTTGGGTGTATATATATATACTTTCTCTTGAGAGCAGGCAACAGAATCTCATTTTTAAGATGGGCTGGTGTGCTCACAGTAAAAAAATGACAATAAAGTTATCTTATCTATCTTATACTGGTTGACTACATGCCGCTCTCTACTCACACATTCTGTCCTATAGTATAAATATAGCATTGTCTGTCCTATATTCTGCAAATAAGTTTATAAATCTTATTTTCAAAGCTGCTGAATCAATGGAAGCAACAATACCACAAGTCTGCATTATTCCTGATGTCATAATGGGGACTGTAAACTGACATATTGGAATAACAAAGACTTAGATTATGTTCTCACAACAAATACTTTACCATAAATTAGATACAGTAAATTAACACAGAATCCTGGATTCACACAATAGCTAAACCACTCTGGCTGAGCTTGCCCAAATGAGTCAGCCTAGTCTTAATGTGACTATAAACTGGGTATGAAAGAAACAAAAGATACAATAGTAGGGTCAGGGAAGGTTTTTTTGGAAGAGAGGCTCAGCAGCAATCAAAAACTGGCTACACAGAATCCTTGAGTATTTAATCCTTCTGCTGCACTGGGATTGTGTGGACTTGGATGACACTGGACATTTCTTTTCTAGTGGCCCACTTATGAGCATTTCCATACCAGCCATTCAGAGCAACCTCCAGTGTCATCTAACCTTCATTGTGCCAAACTAAATTGTTTTCTCTAACTTCAATAATGCTATCAAGATGCTCCTGACAGCATCTAGCTGGGAACTTAAAACTTGGAACATATGCAGCAAAGACAAAAGCAACAGTATATATACATAATAGAAATTTAACCAAATTTAAGAATGGTTCCCATTCCCAGAGTCCCTTGGGAGTTGGGCGGCATAGAAATGCGATAAATTAAATTAAATTAAAATTATATATAACATCACACAGCAGGGAATGCAAGCATATTACTTACAGTGAGACTTGTAAGAGAATTTAAACGCCCACAATAGTGTAAATCAGCAGATATTAAAAAAACACACCCTCAATTGTTCTTTCCCCTTTTTCTTTTTGATATTTAAGTAAAGGTTCCCCTCGCACATATCATTCCCATTCACATATCATTCTAGTCATTCCCGACTCTAGGGGGTGGTGCTCATCTGTTTCTAAGCCGAAGAGCCAGCGCTATCCGAAGAAGTCTCTGTGATCATGTGGCCGGCATGACTAAATGCCAAAGACGCACAGAACGCTGTTACCTTCCCACCAAAGGTCGTCCCTGTTTTTCTACTTGCATTTTTTACGTGCTTTCAAACTGCTAGGTTGGCAGAAGCTGGGACAAGTAACAGGAGCTCACCCCATTACGCGGCACTAGGGATTCGAACCACCGAACTGCCGACCTTTCAATCGACAAGCTCAGTGTTACCCACTGAGCCACCGCGTTTTGGTATTTAATTCTTGCTAAATCTGAATTATCTATTTTGCCCTTGTATTAACTATAGCGTACACATACATAGATGTATGTGTACATCTAATGTGTACATAATTTTGTGTGCACAAAATTATTAAGTAATTACATAACGAAGTAACCAGTTCAAAACCAAAACCTTATTATGGTTTGCTTGATCCTATTTCCTTCATTGGCCACGCAAAACTGGAGCACAAACCGGGTTTGTGTAACTTGCTCATCTAGTTTTAAGGCACTGGAGAGCACCTACTACTCTTTTTGCAACAGTCTTACTAACTGACAGGCATTTCCAACCTACTGTTATTTAAAGCGCTTGGGCTGTCCTAGACAACCATTATTTTCTCTGAGCAATTCAGGAAATCGTGTCTTACTCACCCCATCTCTATCCCAACTCAGCCTGACAATTTTCAGAAAATCACATTCAAGGGCATGATTAATTCCCCCACCCCCTCGTCACTCCCAAGGGCAAAGCACCGGCTCTTTAATATTAGGACCTTAAAATCCTTCCCCAGGATTCTTCAGCAGCTCTATGGGGAAGGAAAGCCTCTCTGACGCGGAAGAGGCTACCCGGGTATTGGGCGTTATCCCGTTGATCTGACTAGGGTTTGGTCCCGCCAAATTTAACCAGGTTGGGGGCTGAAGAAATCGCAAAGTCTCCAACCCCCCCCCCCACACACACACCCCATTTCTTGAGGAGGAGGAACGGGCCATGGTTGTGGAAGGGGGTCGCGGAAAGGCGGGCCGCGCAGGAGAACCCGGGGCGGGCTCACCCCGCTCTGACGCGACCCGCGCGGGGGAGCAGCTCAGCGGAACGCGTGCTGGGGCGGAGCCGCAGGAACTGGAAGGTGTCCCGGCGGAGAGGGGCGGGGCCGGCCAGAGAGGCCGGAGGTGTTGGCTCCCGTCCGACTTAGCAGGTGAAGCGTCGCTCTTAAAAGTTTTAAGGGCTCGGCTGGGTTGGGTCGGTCCTTTGCCCCTCCGCCGCGCCGGAACGCTCATTTCGCCCCGCTGACCGGTTGCAGTTGGAGCCATTTCCTCTGCCCTGAGATAGCCCGGCGAGTGGTGGTGGGGGCGTCCCACGTTTGGCGGAGGAGGAACCGGCGGAGAAGCATCCTTTGGGCTTTCTCTTCAGCCGAAGTCCCGTATAAAAAGCACCGACCGACCGGGCCGAACTGGCTCGGCTGCTTCCTCGGAAGTTTAGGCTTCGATAAAGATTAGCCCCTTCCAGCCTGGCCCGGTTTTTGGTTTTTTTTTTCCTTGCAGAGTCGGAGTCGGTTTGTTTTTGTTTTTTTTTTTCCCGTTTGTTTCTCTTTGACACGTCGATGGTGAGAATCTCGACGCTCAACTCCGGACGCTGCCATGGCCTTCGCTAATTTCCGGCGCATCTTGCGCCTCTCTAACTTTGAGAAGCGGCGATCCAAAGAATACGAGCACGTGCGCCGGGATTTGGATCCCAACGACGTGTGGGAGATCGTCGGGGAGCTGGGCGACGGCGCCTTCGGCAAGGTGTACAAGGTGAGCAGGAAGATGGAGACGGGATATTGGGGAGGGGGTGTCGGACAAGCCGGGGATCCGAAGGAAGGGGACGAATCCTTAAAAGTGGAGAAGGTGAGAGAGGTGGGTGTGCTCAGTTGTAAGATACAGCTTATTCAGGTAGTGTATCAAACATAAAAGAAGATTGTCTTGTTCTGGAGTGCAAGATAAGCATGATGGACTTAAGATGCCAAACCAACAGAACTTCTGACCAGTCCCAGCAGTTCGATCATGGAGAGGTGTGTGTTGCCTTTCACTGGATGTGTTAGAAATTCACAGCTTTCATTTATCATACATAAATGTTATCTTTTATGTAATATTCCATAACATGAGGACCCAGATTGTTGGGGGCAATATGCTATTTAGTATACTGTCTGTGGTGTAAGCCGCCCAGAGTCCTCGGAGAGTGGGCAGCATAGAAATATGACTAATAAAATAAAATAAAATAAATAAAGCTATATAAATGTTTTAAATGAATTAAATTTAGGGGTTCCCATGATAGTTTAGGAAATGCCCCATTCCATATCATATTGTAATTGTTTTTGTTTTTTTTAATTTAGTTATTCAACTTATGGCTACCACTTGTCAAGCTACTCAGGGCAGAAGAAGTGGCTCCAAGCCATAACAAGCCACTAAGCAATTAACCATGGTCTATAAATTACAGTGGCTGAGTACAATGCAGTGTGTGTAAACGAAGTAAACCACATTATGGGTTAGTGTAATATATCAGCCAAATCTGTAATTCTAAAATAAATTTCCCTAAGAGTTACAGACGATTTTTTATTCTTTGTAGAAGTGATATTACACTGTGGGAGAATGTATAAATTTGTTCTTTTACCACACTTGTAATAAGATTGATTTGATATAATAACTGAAGATGGGATTGGAGATTATGCATTCTCTTTCTGGATGGCTGTACTTTGTTTATTCAACAATATGTGTAATTATGTCTTCTAAATGTTAAAGATGTGGTGTAATCTCAAATTAAGGAGGCTGTCCAGATCTGGAAGAGCCTTTCAGTTCAATGTTTCGTTCTCTGTATTCATAGTTAACTGTCTCCCCTTTTCTATTAGATTCTTTTTGCAACCTAGGCCTCAAAATAAGTTTGAGACCCATATATCTAATCAAGCGACATCAAGGTTTGTTCCCTTTCATTGCATCATTCTAGCCACTATAAATGAATTGTGAGGGATGGTCAAAGTTACAGCTCAACAAATGTCTGGAGAATCACACATGGCCCGTCCCAAAAGTATGAAATAGAAACTTCTGTTTTAAAAGATGGTCTGTGGAAGAGAGAAAAGTTAACAGGCATTTTTCTTCTCTCTCTGTTCTAATTGTCTTCATTTATTGGATCTAACATTATCTTCCATTTTTATTATATAAATGTTTTGGGATATTCCAATACAGCTGGGAAAATCCAATTAATAATTATGGATAGAAACTGCCAAGAAAATGGCAAGACTTATTGTCCAAGGGAAGATGCTTGCAAGACCAGCTCCTATGTTGAATGGTCCTCTCGTTGTCTGGGGAATGCATCTACTGTATCAGAATTAGCCATACTGCTGGGAATTCCTAAGGATAGGGAATGCCCTAATAAATTGATAAACAGGTGAATCAATACACAGATGCAGATAGGCATCACTTCTCTTGTGCTATAATCTCCATTTGGTCATGCTGCCTGGCGGATTATTGGAACAGCAAAAAGGGATATAAAAGTAAGGCTCAAGGAGGCTCCTTAACAGTTTAGTAATGAAAAGAAATAGTTTGGATTTCTGAACTTATTGTGCCCAACACAAAATAAGTGGCTGCACTGTGGAAATGGTTAATGTGGTTCGGAAACATTCAATTTCTTCTAGGTATTTTTGGAAAATAACTGAGAATTGGGCATGATTTCTGCATAGATAGTATACTGACATCCATTTCTTAAACAGTAGGTAAAGAAAGAGACTTGAAAACAGCTGAATGCAATAATTCCTGCAGGGCTACTAAGTATTCTTCTCCAATATGTCTGCTCAGAATATTTGAGATGGTTGCTGTCTGAACTCATGATTGATATATGTTCTAACTACATTATAAGAATTCACATGGCCACTAGAAGCGCAAAAGAATGAGTTGAGAAGGCTCATTAGCTTCCATCCTCCATCAAGGATGCAGCACGGGAGTTTGATAAGTGATAAACTGCTGCTAAAGAAAAGCATTGAGCTTGTTTGAATAGCGGAGGCAAAGAAAAGAAAGACTTCCGATGCCTGAAATGATGGTACAGCTATTTGGAAGTATTGTAAACTGTAGTAGTCATAACTGGCGTAATTATCAATAGATGGGTTTGTTGAAAAGGATAGTTCCATTTGTATAAACAATTTGTATGATAAAGCTGCTTGTTCTGGTTATGAAAAGCAGAGCAAGCAGCTTTATTATACAAATTGTATATATCTTTTATAACATCTAACTATAAAAGAGATAACACAATAGTAGACAAATGAATCTAAGGAGTCTTAATGGTTTTTGAGGCCTTCTATAACTTCTTATATTCTCTTTCAATGGAAATACACTGAAGTTTGGAGAGTTGTTACTTGCAGCTTTTTAAAGTCCAGTCAATATCACTTTTTGGATAGTTCAAGGATAAGTATATAACATGTCAAGGGTTGTAGGATATACTAGGTGCCTTATGATGTTAATAGTCAGATCTGGTTTCATTTATTCCTTGAATTAACTGATACGAATGGCATCTTTGTCTTTGGTGATAGAATAGATAGATAGAATAGGAGCAACATGGAGAACCTAATTTATTCTAGGAAGGATACAATAAGTTCTGGACCACTTCAGAACTTGTCCATTGCACTGGGTGACAGAAGAGCTTTGAAGCAGAAACCTGATCAATAGTTGACCTTGGAGGAGAGAGAAGTCATATCCACAGCCATTCATTTGCAAGGTGCCTCAGGGCTCAACACCCTTTTCCTTCTCCTGTTTTTAATATCTACATGAAACCAGATCATCACTTGTTCAGAATCATTAGTATGCTGATGATATTCAACTGTATATTTCAATACTGGGCTGTATAGTTGAAGCTATTGATGTGCTGACCCAATGTCTGGAGGCTGTTCAGGTGCAAGGGGCAGAACATACTTCAACTCAGTCCTAACAAGACTGAATGCCTATTTGCCCCCCCTCCCCGGGGGTCAGAGACATTTCCATTATTGGTCTTGGATAGGGTTATACTTCCCATTCCATACTGGTGCATAGCTTGCGTGTCCTTCTTGATTTGCAGCTATTGCAGCTATGGTTGGGAGGCTCTTTGCAAAGGTTGATTTTGTGTAGCAGTTGTGCCCCTTCCTTGAGCAGGAGGCCCTTCAGGCAGTTATTAAGGCCCTGATTACTTTTGATGGTTGCAATGTGCTCAACATGGAAATGCCTTTGAAGAGCATCTAGAAGCTACAACAGGTACAAAATGTAACAGCAAAAGCAGTAACTAGTACTTCTTGGTATGTGTGATTGCTGCTATGTGAAGTGCATTGATGATCAGTTGGGTTCAGTATAAGCTGTCCGTCATTACCTTCATGGTATAGTGCCTGCTTATCTGAGAGACCGCCTATCTCCAACTTTTTTATCGCTCAATATGTTACAGCAGAATGTGTGTGCTCCAGATCCCCTCTATTAAATATTGTCATCTTACAGGACCAAGGAAGCATGTCTTCTCTGTCACACAACTATTATCCTCTGGACAAGATCCCACCACAGGGATGGACAGTGTCGTCTTTCCTTGGGTTCCAAAAAAGCTCTTAAGATCTGGTTTTGGTTTCAAGTCTGAGATGGATGTATTTGTGTGGAACTTGGACTGGCTTGTTATTGCACTGGTTTAGTCCAGGCTGCCGGTGTGGTGTGTATTTAACCTTTTTACTTTTTTGTATCTGTAAGATGCCTGGAGTGAGTAGCTATAATAAATTTTAAATAATAGTTATTTGAGAAAATCATTCTGTTAACAAGTAGGGAGGGGAAATCATGCATCCTTTTCCATTGCACTGGGAGGCTTCAGAACTTGATGGCTGAAATAATGGAAATTTGCTTGTCTCTTATGCAATCATCACCCTGCCCTCTTTTTTTTTTTTTTGGTGTGGGGGGGGGTGTTTGCCAAGCATGCATTGAAAATAATTGTTGGTCCACTACCATCTAGTTCAGCCTCTCTCACCCTATTACCCCCTAGATATGCTGAAGCTAGAATTCCATGGCGGGTGGGCAGTGAGAAACACTGGCCTAGTTGATAGGGCCTCAGTGCAGTAGATTTAAAATGAAGAAGTTGGACTATGCACATTGACTTTCTGAAAACAATATTATCCTTTCTAGAAAAATAAAGAATGATATAATGGCCCTAGAAATTATAACTCATCTATCTTGCAAAGAGAGCTTCCAGCTTCATCTCCTTCTCATATCTAGCTATTAAGGGGAGATTTATCCAAAGAAACACATCTCTTATTTCACAAATAGATTCTGCCAAGACAAGTACACAATAAGTGCTTGTTATTAAATAGGAAATGAGCAGAATTTGATAGTAAAGAATGTTCGTTGTAGAATGCCATTTAATGAAAGTTTCTTTCAAGGGAACAGATCTTATCAAGATGCATGCTAATATAATCCTTTTTTAAAAAACACCTCCAAACAAATGGAGTTTTATTTCTTGACGAAAAGTGGTCAATTCTTGGTATTGAACAAAATCCCTGGGAGACCTGTTCCCATTTCCTTTCTACCTATCTGATAAGCAGGAAACATGTCTTTGTTTTCCTACCAATATTTGGTTCCCGCTATTAATATCAGTTGGAGACAACTGATTTTGAGGAGAGTGACTAGGAAGAAGACACCAAGAGGTCAGAGCATTGATCTGTTTTCTGGAACTTAGTTATCATGTAGGCAATAATCACATTGTAATGGAAATATTGTAATGGATACAATAATATCCATTAAAAGGGACATGGTGGCTCAGTGGCTAAGAC